AATAAATTACGTTCGTCAATGATTTTGTGACACGTGGCACACTCTCGCAGGAAAAGGCTGACGTGACATAATTCGCTACCAGCGGTAACGAATTTGGTCTGCAATATGATCACGTGTACGAAATCATTGGCCACGAAATTCGCTATCAGTGATAGCAAATTATAACACATAGCAGTCTGATAAAAAGAACTATTCACATGGTATTTGAATAAATTTTTTATCAAAAAGCACATTTTGATCATTGTTCCTCGTTGTTACGTATAGCTTACATTAAACATTAAAATTCATAATTTACATGTATAAAAATATTTTGTTAGACATAAATACACTTTTAAAGGTTTATTGTGTATATTTTACAAGATATAAATGTATGCCCTTTCACCTCTTTTATAATTTTGTATTTCGAGAAATACATAGTTATAATATGAATGTTTTCTTTTTCTTTCTTTACGTTAGCCGACAAGTTTATGAAAAATGTCTCTGAAGAAATAAAAAAAATAACTTTAATATTATAACTATGTATTCCTCGAAGTACATAATTATAAAGGATAAAAGAAAATAATGTTATATTCTTTTTAAAAGACTAATAATTTTTCCCACTTTTAATATACGTCACTCAATTTTATAACAATCTATGCCTACATAATTTTTTTTTCCCAATTTTCAATTCATATACCCCATTACATTTGTTTTTTGGAGGGCCGTCGCCGGATTTTATGGCGCTTGTCTTGCAATAAATGTATAATACGATATGTGTAAAAATGAAGGTTAATATGCAGACAATTTAATTGAATTTAATTTTTCTAACAAACAATTTTTTTTAATTCAATAATTAATTTATGGAATTTATAAGAGTTATGTTATAGGAAAAGTGATTGTGTTATGTTATAGAGATTTTTTTTTTTTTGATAACATATGTTATAGAGATTTTTTTTGCGTGCCGAAGGTTTTTTTTTTTTGCTGCGAGCCCCACAAAATATTGTGTGTAGAAAATTTTTTATGATCATGTTAAATAATAGATGATAAATCCTTAATTTATTGTTCATCTTTTTTTTAGGGAAAACATCATCTTCTATTGCAGAAAAATATATTACAATTCCTGCACATGGATCGAAACTTGTGCCATTTATTTTTGTTTTTTGTTTTTGAAAAAAAATCTACAAGAATTATTGCTTATCATCTGCGACATACGAAAATTAACGCCCTTTTTTATTCTTAAAAAGTGAAAGAAAATACGAAAAACTCATTAAGCATTTTGACATGAATATAGATAACTATTGAATATCCGTTGTATTACACGGAGTTTTTCAAGTAAATTCAGGTTTAAAGAAATTAGATTAAAATAAAGAATAGGTTAATCTAACTACTTTTATTTTCTACCTAGTTTTTTCTACCACTTCTAATATTATTAAATCAGAATCTCAACTACCTTTATTAATGAAAGAAAAAATTAATTTTTTTTAAAAATAAAAGATAAGAATGGGTAAAAAAATTAAAATATTACTATTTTAATAAATAATTATGAATATATAGTTGTTTCGAAACTATTTACGGATCTATTGCACGTATTCACGCCTAAATTAGGCGTGACCATTCACGCCTAAGTTAGGCGTGACTCCCAAGGTATTCACGCCTAATTTAGGCGTGACTCGTCTGGTATTGACAAGTGGCACAAAAAAATCAATTTACGAACAGTAAACTTTAGAAAGCCATAACTTTTGATTCGGGTATCCGAATCAAGTAAATTTTTTTTTTATTCCACATAACTTTTCGAGATCTACGCAATGACATCTCATTTGATATATTTTATCTCTCACAAACACAATTCAAATTTGCAATAATGATATTATAAGAGCTTTTAAACCTAGAATCCTCCGAGTTATGGATTTGTGATTTAATATAAATAAATAAATAAATATTTGATTTGTGATTTAAATTAAAAAAATCACATTTTTTAATTTTTAATATAACAATTAAATAAAGATTTTTTTTGTGATTTTAATTAAAAAAATTAAAAAAATTAAAAAATTATTATTAATAAGGAAAACAAAATAAAGATTTGATTTGTGATTTAAACTCAAAAATCAATTTGAAAAATCTGTATTAATAAAAAAAATAATTAAATAAATATTCTAAATCTCTAAAGAAAAATGATTTTATTTTTAAAAATCATTCATAGGCTATAAGCTTCCAACAAAATCATTATTTCAAATTTGAATTGTGTTTGTTAGGTCCTGGATAGACCGTATTGCTATACCAAATTGTATTCGCTCAGAGATACCGTAAGAATAGGTATGTATCTGGACAATGGCCAATATCCCAATCACTGCACACAAGCAATAGGCTTATAGCCAAGACGTAGATGTGTGCCCAGTGTTGGCAGTAATAGTAAATAGGTTCAAAAGTGTATACCTGGGTCTTTAGCCTCTTATTTATAAGGGTTACCTCTAGGATTTGTGAAGATCTCCCAGTTGCAGTAGTATTCGACTTCCTTGCTGTTGAGATAAGGATTGTATCCTGAGTATCTTGGTTGTTTGATATTGTTAGGATAATTGAGTATATATGCTTTGATGATTTGTTAAGTGGGTAGTTAGGATATGATATATATCCATGACAGTGTTTATGAGAGATAAAATATATAAAATGAGATGTCATTACGTAAATCTTGAAAAGTTATATGGAATCAAAAAAAGAATTACCTAGTTCGAATACCCGAGTCAAAAATTATAGTCTTATGAAGTTTTATGATTGGACTGTTAACTTTTTGTGCCACGTGTCAACACCAGACGAGTCATGTCTAATTTAGGCATGAATGCGGGAGTCACGCCTAATTTAGGCATAAATAGTAACACCCAATTTGGACGTGAATAAGTGTAGTATATTTGTAATTAAGTTCAAAACAACAGCTTATTTGTAATTATTTATTAAAAAATAATATTTTAATTTTTTTGCCGTTAAGAATGATATGAAAAAAAATGAATTTTATTTATTTATTTTTTGATTATGAATGATGTGTATCATTTGTTGAAGAAAAGTAGAATAAGAAATTAAACCATTCTTAGGTAAAAGTTCTCTAGTTAACAATTATCTCGTGTATGGATATTTTTAATTTTTAATAAAATATAAACTAAAAAGATAGAAAAAAATATTGAAAACCATAAGAGAAATATAAATAAATAATAATCAATTTAAATAGAATATACTTATATGTTCAAAAAGTAAATTATGAAGAAGATATACATGATTAATTTAAAAGAATTTAAATTTAAAATTCAAAAGAAAAAAAAATAAAAAATGACATGTGCCATTTAAAATAAAAGAATGTGTTAAAAACTTAAGCCACTTTCAAAAGAAAATTTATTTTTTCATTTTTTATCCTATTGCAATTATAAATTCACTAATTTAAATTTGAGCCGGACATCGATAAAGTGATAAGAAATTATAATTTAATATTAAGTTTGGATTGCTTATTATTAATAAAAATTCTTTAGCTCTTTTTTTATGGATTCGTTTGCCACAGCTCGTGTGGCTCAAGTGGTACTCGATCCAACGTTAGCTATTGTGTGATGCTGTCAAGAAAAAATTGTTAAAATTAATTAAGATTTTGAATAAAAAGTTAAAAAAGTAACTTGAATGAGTATCTTTTAATTTATAATCATTCACATTTTTATAAATGTAAAGGATTAAAAAAAAATATTTTTCCGGTTGGTGTGATTTAATTTTTTCTACATTCATATTATTTAGAAGTCCCATCACTCTCTGCAATTATAGTTGAGTTCGAAGGGGTTTTTGCTGTGATGGTGCCGTGACTCGTGAGTCCGTTCTTTCTCGGGGGATAATTAACCGTTGTCCTTAAATATCGTATCGGCGACAAATTATCTTATGGAAACAAAGGCTATCCTTGCCCGAATTCCCATTTTATCACATGTTGTTGATGATCTTGCATAAGTTTAATTTATGTTTCTTGAGTGCTTTGATTATTGATTATTCATGCAATTTTTTGGAATAATTTCATAAAGACATGTTTGTTTCCCTCATAATTGCCATTGTTTTTCCAAATCCTCACTTTCTGCTTTACCTTTCTTTTATCAGCTGATTTTTCACTTTCAACATGATGGTAAAATTTGCAAGCAAATTATTTTATGGTTCGTTGCTTATGTTATAGGAAATAATTTATTTTTTATACATATATAAAAGTGTGTGAAACTCATATTTTATTTTATTTTTATTTTTTTTCATATGGATCCCATATATTACGCGTAGGAAATAAAATTTATCTCCTACGAAAAAAAAATTAAACCCTTATTTTATTGTGGTATAGCTTATATCAGAAAGAAACAGAAACACGCGGTTTACCATAGACAACAACGATTGAAAAATAGATACATATTATACATGATTTTGATGTGAAGTTTAAAAGCCCATACTTTTAACACTCCATTCCCACCTACAACTTCCCTACTTTCCCTCCCCCACCTAACAAACGGATAAGGAAATGAAAGGTAAAATAATCACCACATTTGATGATTTTGATAAATATGTTTCTTAAATCCCAGAGTTGATGTTCTTCTCTCATCTTCCACCTATGCTGGGAGAAGTTGACAATAATTTTGGGCTTCATACAATTTTTGTAGGTAGCCCAAAATAAAATCTTAAATATGGACAAACTTCAACTTTGAAATCTGCATTCTTTTACCAATTTAATAAACCTTGACATGACACCTGAAATCCCTTCCTCCATTGAGAAAATTTTTCTATTTTTTTTGCAACAAAATTTGGTTACCATGCTTCTGCATGATGCAGAGTGAGAAATAACATGCCAGAAATCCTAATTGTTCATGTTCAACATGATAGCCTCCAATTAATAAAGCAATCTGCATTTAGGGAGGATGTGAAATATTTCAGTATTTTGAAACATTGATGCTAACAAACTAGAATAAATTTCAATATAAAATACATACCTTATGCCTACACGTCTTTGGTTGGTGTATGCAACTTCATTACACTGAACCATTAGGAGGTGTATCCAAGTTCTTAAGGCGGTGTTCCACAGCCTTAAGATCACGAAGATGTTGCAAGATATCTTGAAGTAGATCCCCTTCTTTATCTCCATTCTGCATGGATCCCACACAGTGCTGAAGAAACTCCCTATCTGTTTCAAGAGCTTGTAGCCTCTCATAAACACGATCAACCTCCTCTTCAATGGATACCTTCATGCTATCCATTTCAAGTATAGGAACTAAGTTTTCAATATCAACTGATTCAGTTTCCAATTGTTTGTCAAATGTATATGCTTCCTCAGTCTCATCATCAGCTGCATCTAAATATGGTAGGAGCCTCTTTGCCAAGGAACCCATTGTTCTTCTTGGAGAGTGTTTATCATCTGAGATCCCATTACAATACTTGTTATCATCTGGATTGCTAAAATTGCAGTTCTCATTCAAGTCTTTGTCACCATATGTTGATGAATGTTCAATCAGTTTAATGTCATCAAGTAATTCCTCATTGTCTCCCAAACTAATAATCTTTTCCTCTAATGCTTTGAGCTGATCAAGAATTGAAGCCCTCTCTTCCTCAAATTCTGCCAATGAATTATCAAGAGCACTTACATGCTTTACACAGTCCAATGCCATCTCCTCCAAATTAGAAACAGCATCAGCATTTGTATTATCTTCATCCCTTGCTTCGCGGTTAAGATCAATGGATAACTCATCGGTATTGCTGCAAGAAGAAGAAGAAGAGTCTCTACTTCTTGCATTTACATCTTTCATTCTTCTCAACACCCTTAATTTCTCTTTTGCTTCATAATCCATAACCTTCTGCCTATACTCTTCCAATTCCTTCTCAAGTTCTTGCTTCTCTTTCTCTCTTTTCATCATTAACTCATTCAAAAGCTGTAAAGCTTCCTGATCATACTCTGATTGTTCTTCCATCATCCTCTGGTATTGCAATGCTTCCATCTGCATTGCTGCCTTTTCTTCCTGCAGCCTTGTAATCATTGCCATTGTTTGGTTTGCAGCTACTGCAGAGGCACTTCTCTCTTCTTCTAATTCTTGATATGTAGCACTTAGAGCCCTTCGTTCGGCTTTCAAAGCTGTTTTTAGCCGGTCAATTGTTAATACTGGATCACCATATTCTACCTCACTTGCAACACTACCATCCCCAGAGTCTTCTGTTCCTGATTCTCTTTTCTCAAATAGCATCAATTTCCTATGCAGATAATGCAAGCCATCTACAGAACTAGGAGTTTCGGGAAGTTTATCTTCTTCTACTTCACATGACTCTGAGCACTTGGATGATTGGTGGCTTGTTTCTTCATGATTTTTCTCAACAGATATTGTTTTCTCAATCATTTCAGCATACTCGTTATCATTTGCTCCTGTTTTATCTGGACCTGCATTGTTGAAGTTCAATTAGAGTTTACTGGTATTGAATAAAGAAAACATTTGCATCTCTTCTATAATCAAGTTCTTTACAATTAGAGAAGTTAAAACAAAAAGAAAAGAATAAGGTACTGGATGTCAAACTTACAGAGATTATTCTGGGCAATGAATTCATCAAAGGCATTGGGAACTTCAGTATCATCCTCACTTGCCGAAGATTGATCTTCTGATATGCATTGACATGAGCTGGCTGGTTCTTTAGATGGAAGCAGATTAACTGGGTGAGCATATGCTCAAATCATAAATGTGTAAGACATAATCTCTCAAGTAAAGTGTGCCAAACCAAGCTAATTTATCTACATATGCGGTCACAAATAATGTACTAGCCAACTAGAGACATGAAACAACACCCTTGCATAAGGATAATGTTAATTCTTATAATTCATGTACTTCTTTGTACCTCTTGGTGTATTTTCTGATTCTTCCATGGCTGCTTCTATACTGTTGTCATCGTTGGATAAACTTTGAGACTTACTTAGATTATTCTGAGCAATAAATTCATCAAAGGCATTTTGAACTTCAGCATCATCATCACTTGATGAAGATTCATCTTCTTGTGTGCATTCATATGAGCAGACCGGTTCTTGAGATCGAGGTAGATCATCAACTGCATGACCAAAAACTTGTGATTTTTTGTAGTCAAGACAATATGTAATACGATCATTCAACAGAAGCATACTATGGCTTTTGTTTTCAAGTGCTGACATTAATAAAAACAAAAACAAAAAAACAAATAGGAAACGTGAACAACACAAGTGTGAATAGATAAAGATCCAGAAATTCTACAAATCAAGCACTTTCTTGTACCTTGTGTATTATCTTCTTCTTCTGCGGCTGCTTCAACACTGTTGTCATCATTCAACGAAGTTTGAACTTCTTCAGCAGTTATCCTTTGTGGATGTACTTCAACTACTGAATTCTGTTTTAACTCTTCCAATGCTATAGAACTTTCCAAGCTTTCAAGTTCTCCTCTCATGCTTGTTTTCTCTGCATTCTCATCCATTGTGAGTAATGCTGCTCCTTCTAAGATACTTGATTTTACTTCAATTGGTGACTCAGAAGCAAAAGTCTGAGTCTTTTGCTCCATATCCTCCAGATCATCATTCAATTTGCACGACTCAGAATTCAAAGAGGTAATGGAATCAATTAACTTGACAGGTATCAAGCGGTGGGTATTACAATTTTCATAATTCTCAAAGTGCATATTGATGACTTCAAGTGATCTATCTTCCCAGAATGAACCCTGCATAGTGTAAGTATCAGAGAATTGACGAATAAAATTGTCAGCACCACTTGGATCCATCTCTGTAATGGTAAGATCATCTTCTTTCTCATCTTTCTCTGCATCCTTTTCATCAGAATGCAAGTTTGAAACAGAACTTGAACGATCCTCCGCCACCTCTCTGAGGATAAAACTTTCAATATCAGAAAGTATCTGATGCTCATCTGCTACCCCTTCATCATCATCATCATCATCGTCATGAACTTCTCCATTGTTTCTCTCAAACTCAAGGCCTTTATCACCTTCTTTTTCATCATCTATTGCTTCTACAATCATGGACCCTTTGCTTGTGTAATTCCCATCGTTCCAAGAAGGCTTTAGTAGCAAATATGGAGGGTAAAACTGGCTGCTCAAGCTCTCATTGCAGCAAGAACACTTGTTTATACTCTCACCATTTTCATGTTTGTCATGACTCACCCATGAAATGAAAGCAATTCTATGTCTCGTTCCAAAGGAGTTTTCATGATGATTTGGCCGAGAGGACAAGCAATCCTCACACATGCTGTGTGTTTCCGCTAGTCTTTGATGATTTGAGCAGTAACCAAGCTTGGAAATCTCAGCTGCATGAGTCTCACATACAAGATCTCTGTGCAAACTTGTGCTGTTTCCGGGCTGCAGGGCGTGATCAACTCTTGAACACCAGAGGCATGGTGGTTGAAGGCCAACCCATTTGGCAAATTTTGTGATGAGATAACTGAACAAAGAGTTTAGAAGAAGGAGGACAATCAAGACCCATTCAAGAAATGCATACACTAGGATCACGATGATTTTGTTGGTGTTTCTATGCAACATGGTTGCAAACTTGTTAGCAGCCATTGATGTTTCCACTTTCCAAAACTATGTTATTCTTGTGTGGATGTGTTGTGTTACAGTGGGAAAGTGTAAGAGAGATTGGGAGAGAGGGAGGGGAAGAGATAGAGGAAGGAGCTCAAGAGTCAAGAGTACAAAAAAGAATACAAAACAGATTCAGAAGAAAAGGGTATGTTTCTCAAGTTTTGCAGAACAGCAAAGGCTGATTACTTGGCAAGAGGAGCAGAGTCTGAAAAGCGTGCAAGTGATTCAGTCACTGTATCAGGATTTTGCACCATTAATAATTATGCCAGCATTCTTTATTATTGAGTAAATTTTATGTTTGAGTTATACTAAAATTCCTAGATAAAATCAACACCCTTGTAAGACTATTGGGTAAAAAAATTATTCAGTAAAAATTAATTAGATAATTTTTTTCAAATTAATCCAATCAAATATGGCACTGACGAGACTGATGTCATATTTGCGCCACGTAAGCAATTCAATTATTGTAAAACTTCGAAAAATTATAAATTTTGATTCGGGTATCTAAATCAGATGATTTTTTGTATTTCACATAATTTTTCGAGATCTACGCAATGAAATCTCATTTGATGTATTTTATCTCCCACAAACATAGTTCAAATTTGTAACAATGATACCACAATCACAAGAACATTTAAATCCAGAAGCTCCCTAGTTCTTTTCGAACCAACACCATGACCTACAACACATACCATTGATTGACATGTTTTATCTATGTGAATGATGTTATTTAATTCCTTTTCTTATTTTTTAACTATCCAATAATAACAAATAATGGCAGTGGTTTCCTCTCCATCAACGCGCAGACGCACCAACGGATAACAACGTTTCTTTTTAAGGAAAGCCCAAAAGTACTGATCTTGTTACTGAAAAAATCATTGCCTTAAAGGTTAACCGTGGGAAAACTAGGCCAAGAAATCGATGGCACGTCCTGTAGCTCATGATATTGGTTTGGAAAGAACTTAGGAGCTTCTGAGTTTAAACGCTCTTTTGATTGTGAAACTATTGTTGCAAATTCGAACTATGCTTGTGGGAGATAAATATTTCAAATGATGTTTCATTGCGTAGATCTCGAAAAGTTATGTGAAATAAAAAAAACCCCACCTGATTTGGATACCGGAGTCAAAAGTTATGACCTTTCAAAATTTTACGATGATGAGACTACCTATGTGGCACTAACATGATATAAGGATCATTGACGGGACTAGTACTTATTAGTGACGTGTTTGACTGCATTAGTTTGGAAAAACATATTCAATCAACTTTAACTGGACAATTCTTTTGGTTAACAATCATAGAAAGGTGCTTTAGCCCAAAGATCCACATAAAATCTATCTAATAATAAAGAGTAAGGGTGTTCGCAATCTGAATTGGATCGATTTTGAAGCAAAAATTATCTGATCCAATCTCTTCAGTTTGATCATTTAATCATTTATTCGGTTTGAATTTTTTTTTAAATCTAATTCAATCTAATTTTATTTGGTTTAGATTGAATCAGTTTTCGATTTTTCGAAAAACCTAAAAATAAATAAATTGGATAACGAAAAGCCTAAAATTTTAGTCTTACAAATTATTAGCTATACCAAAATAAAGTCATTCAAATTTACAAACCACTATAAAAATCAAGTCTTCAAACTAAAATAAGTCTTAAAACTCATGAAGAGTTAAAATAGATTAATAGACAATTAAAAACTAAAACAAGATAGTTTGCTATCAATAACATCCAAGATTCCAAGTCTACAAATCAACAAGATTTCAAGTCACAATCTTTCGAAAATAATAAATACATAATACATTGGATCGGTTTTCACCAAACAAACCGAAAACCGATCTAATCCAATTAAAATATATGGGTTTTCTTTCTTCGATTTTTTATTTTTTATTTTTCGATTATCAATTTTTTTCGATCGGTTGATAAACACCCCTAATAAAGATTGCATTGAAAAAAAGAGGTTAAAAAATATTTTCCTCTAATTACCTATAGGTTAAAGAGTATTAATTATAGATTTATCTGTGGTTGTTTTAAGGGCAACCCGACTATGATCCGTCGCAGCATATTGTATTCTCATTTGTGTTCAAAATGAATGCAAGCTTTGGGGAAGTGCATGCATATTTAGTATGGATGTGCAATTGCAATACACTTGAGATACATCAGAGAGTGACAAGTATATGTAAGAAAATATAATTATTTTGCTAAAGAAAATGCCAACAGCATTAACAACAACAACAATAATATTAAAATTTAAGTACAAACAACCAAAATAAATTTAGGTAAAAACAAGATTTTCTCTTAAAAATGTCTGAAGCTTGAACTATGTATTTAATTAATTTTCCTTTTATTTGATTATCCAACGTTGGGAAAGACAAAAATAGTTATATTTCTTTGCAGAACAACTTGTAAATACATACTGAGAATTTTTGGAGAATATTTTTTCTTTCACTCCTCACATAAGATCCACGCATGTAATTATTTTCGGTAATAAGCACCCTGGTTCAATACACAACCAAATCACAGCAAAAATCTAAAAAAGAAAAGAAAAAAAGAATGTGACCCAAAAAAGAAAAAGAAAAAAGAAACACTAAACAAACTAAAGACAGACCTTGTTGTTCCATGAATTTGGTTTGGACTTTGGACCACTCCACGCGCAAGATGGTCCCCACCACCATCCATTTGGTCATACATATTACATAGTGAAATGTTACTTAGGCCCACCTACATTAGTACTAATAGACATACGCTCTTAGCAATGGCATAAACTTCTAAGGTTCATTATTCAATATAATTTTCTAACAAATATATGCACTGGTCACATTGCTATCATTGGTTTAATGAAGTGTCTACATATTCATTGAAGTTTTGATTTAGTTATTTACTGTTAAAGTGCATGGTCCCTAACATTCAAATTATTCAGCCAGGCACTTCCTTTTTCAGTAATAGATATACATAAAACTTTCTAATCAGAAGTTTTATACTTACATATCTATTATGTAGAAAACATCATAAGGAATCATGGGTGACTTGGGATTCTGCTATTGAAAATTTTAAAGTGAAGGGGCTGGAATGATGGAACAAGGGTGTCAACAGTGGCTGGCATGATGAAAAGGCTAAATTAGAAAGAAAAAGTGAGTTGAAAGGAGGGAAGGAATTGAGACATTGTGATAGTGATTTAAGGGCTTTTTTGTGAATAAAGATTGGAAATAATGTAATGTGGGATCACGGTCTTCCCACCAGCTTTTGCTTTTCAGGTCTCAGCTTTCTTTGGCTTTTAAAAAAGTTATTTCCTGGATTTAAGAAGCAAAGGGATCGTTAATGAAATAATCAAATCAAATCTTACCAACTGATACATTAATTATGAAATTAAAGATAGTGAAGACGGCATTAAACCACGTTCACTAACCGGAAAGTCGGAAACTATCATTAGGATTTTGTTAATTAAAGAACAATGGCTACCCCACATATACCTAAAGCATCTCCCTCGAGGTTGAGATGAATTTAGTGACTCTAAAAAATAAACCGATTGGAATAATTAGTAATAAATTGATTCGAATATCTCAAAAAAAAAAATTGAGAAGAGTTTAAAGTCTTAATTTTAAGACACGCTCCGAATCAAACTAATTGTGAAACGATGAACTAATTGAAATATCTCAAAAAAAAAAAAAAAAAAAAAATCATAGTCAAATAAATAATTACCGTTAGAGACTTACGATTGTATAATTTTGTGGTCCAAATGTTCTTGTGGGCTTTCAACTAATAGCCCAAAGAGTAACTTAAAGGTATTTTTTGCATTTTATTTCCATGTTTGAAATGTTTTTTAGGCTACACATATTTGTTTAAGAGATTCGATCTTACGTTTTCGTGGCTATTGTATGACCATTTTTCAAAATTAAACCTGATATCATAGTTACACTATCAGCCAAAATGGTTGGTTATAACTTTCGAGGCACCCCTTCAACTAATGGCACTTGCAGCAGTCAGTAAAGTGTGATAATTGTTGTCTATGATTAAATATTTCTTAATATATATACGTTCAATCTTCTAGATTTTTTGCATTTTTGTGCCAAAGATGTTGTAAAACACATAAGCCAAAAAAAAATATCTTGATTTATCTTTATTTCTCGTGTTCCCTCATTGAATTTGTAATAAATTAGAATTTGATTTATATTTTTCTAAATACCATAATTGTAATTTCTTATTTTCATAGTTAGTGATGGTAAATCTTAGACATAAAATTGAGCTGCTGAATAATCACTCAAGTCATTCATAAATCTTGCCTTTATGACAAGTTCGATCCTTGCCCACCTCTATAACTCTAATAAAAATAAAAGCTAAATTTTTGAATACAAAATAGATGGACCTGTACATTATCTTTATTTAAATCCAAATCCAAATAACTATTGCATGAGGAATCATATTAGAGATAAAATATAAATCGATGATGAAACTTTAACTGTGAATGAAAATGTAATATAAAATGCATTTTCTCTTATCAACTTAAGCTTTTAGGAAATTTGATTCATCACACTTGATTTGATTTGTAAATAAATAAAGAGGTAGGATATTCATGCTACCATTTTTTCTACTACCAATCCATTGCCACCCTAATTATCATTGGATCAAACTTTTCAACAATTTTTTTTCTCTCTTTTCAGCCCATATTTTGCTGAAAAATTTGATCTAAAGGTAATTAGAATGGTAGTAAACTGATAGTAAATAATAATAATAATAATAATATGAATATACTAACTCATAAATAAATTAGGCGGCTAGGAATTTCTCAAGTCATTCACAAATTCCTGTCAACTATTTCAACCACGTACTATGCCACAATCATTGTCTAATAATATTCAAATCACGCAACATATGAAATGCTCAAACAACACTGATACTACCACCCACAAGCCAGGTGTTTCCATCAAATATGCTAGGACAACATACAAAAAAGTATGCTAGCCCAACTTCAGTGCTGTATCAGATAAAAGCACAGCAGTTGAGCAATATATGTAGTATGGAACGCTCTTACATACAAACCAAGCATTATTACTGATATGCATCTATGTATAAATGAGGAAAGCTAAGCATTTTAAGATGCATATAACCAACATAATGGCATGTTACACACTAGCAATAGTCACTTTCTAGTTATCATGTGGGTTAATCCTATACTAGTTAGAATCCTCGGGAGGCATCTATACTGTACAGTGAAAAGTTTCAAATATTTCTCATTTGATATCTTCTTCATTATCAGATTCTTTACTTTGTTTTTCTTCCATGGTGTTTTCATCCATCATAAACCTCCAGCTATCCCCCTCCTTTATTTCCCATTGTTTTTTCAGTTCATAAATAGCTTTGGATGCTGCAATAGCAATAGCTGGGTTGCTATCTTCTGCCAGTCTCTGCAACATGAACCAAAGACATCAACTTTGCCAAAGGGAAAAAAATGAAACTATATCACCTGTCAAAAGTTCTTCTCAAGCTAAACTATGATCCCCCACCTGTAATGCTCCCATCCCTGCATTTCCAAGAGTCCACATGGATGGTGCTGCGGCCAGTGCATTGGCTACAGCTCGTCTAGACACATGCACCCGTGGACACACAAACAACACAGAAAACAAAAATAAACAAAGGGGGAGAAAAGTATAATAATGTATGGATTAGGGTTGATTCGTGCTTGTTATTTATTTAGTAGTTTTTTTAAAGAACCTTGAGGTCACCACCCCAAAAGCTAGCTCAAAGGGTGGGAGTGCCCAAAGCCTGTGGGACTATATATCTCAACAGTTTTATTTTTGGGCCCCTAGTGGTCTCTTTCCTTGTATTTACCATATATTTCTTTAGAAGTATACAGCGAAAGCTTTGTATGATTAACTAAACTCTTTTTTATCATTACATCATTAACTAATTCAATATTGCATAACTTAAATGTCAGGGAAATTCGATCTTTCAGTATTTGAGAATGTTGTAACTTGTGACAATGATGAAAATATGTCTAATACAAATTCAAAACATGAAGCTAATACAAATTCAAACCAGGAAGCCAACCATGGTATGCTCTTCATGGTTCATAGCAGTAACAAAATACCTTTCCTGCTAGTTATATTATTGCCAGAAATTTTAACAGAAAAGATTTTGATTTAAAGAAAAATATGGCTTTCCACTTTTAACTATGCACTTTGAATACAGAATGCAACCGGATTATCTGAAAGATGGTAGTATCACTGGAAGCTTACCGAGTACTGACATCAGGGGAACTAGAACACTCTGCCAACAAAGATACACTTTGTTTACCATCCATTGCATCAAGGTCTATAAGAGTTGTGATCAACAACTCAAGCTGCTCCCAGTAGAAAAAAAGTATGTAATATCAATACTTAAATAGTGACTAGGATCAGACAGATAGAAAACTTAACGGATAATCAAACCTCTTCAGGATCAGTGTAATCAATTCCATCTGCTTCAGAAAGTGCTGATGCCATACTCCAGTAAGCTTCCTGTAAACCTAAAAATCTTACAATATGATAGATATGTTTCCTTATTCAATTGACTTAGGGGGACTGTTATACAAATAAACAGAAGGAAACAAAAACAGAAAAGAAGAAGGACCTGAAGAGCAGTAATCCGTTCTGTGGTCACATCCCCAGGAAAAAAATTAGTGGTTTTTCCATTCTTTTCAAGCGTTATACGACCTCTTACATTATTTTCTGAAAGAGAGCCTTTATATCTGAGAAGAGGACTGCACCCCAACATCATAAGAAACAATTTAGAGCTTATTATACATATAAGCAAGCATTTGAAGTTACTTGACTTACATGTTATACGTCTTGCTCACCATCATGTCATGGATGTTTTTGATGAACTGCAATATTTACATAATAGAAAGTGAATTTCTTCCTTTGGAGCTTAAAACAAAATAATGGGCATGATATTTTGAAATAGGTAATGTAGCAGATTTATTATAAGCTGAATAATGCCTGCTGCCAGGGTTAATAAACTGTTTAAATAAAAGAAAAGTTCCACAATTAACACTTGCAGAGTATAAAATATCACCTCCAAAGCCATAAGGGCGTCTTCCATTGCACGTTGCTTAGCACGGAAGTCAGCAAGGCGTAAATCAGCCTGACAGTACAAAGGGTACATAAAAAATCAGCTTTATAGTTCACGGGTTAGGTGAAAAGGATTCTTGTATTTTCTGGCTATTCATATGCATTTTAAATTGTTTCTCATGATACAAACTTGCAAAAGAACCTCACACTCCATATATAGATCTACATGGGATAGGAATACATAGGAAAAATCTATAAGAACAAAAACAATTCATAAGGGAAAAAATCCAATCAGACATATGATACAGATGAACGGAACAGGGGAGCTAAAAAACCAAAACTAAATTAGGTATACCAAACCAAACTGCGTTTCTTGACTATTTTTATAATGGTCCCAAATAGCAGAACAGTTAGCTTACCCTTTTTATTTATGTCCACCAATGAGTCTAGTTCTTGGTTAAATAAAAATATTAATCTTCAATGGAAGAAAAAAAAACCAGAAGGTCTAATTTTAAGCTAGTTTGTAAAAAAAAATTCTTTTGTATTTCAGCAGTCGACTCTACATGATAACCAATAAGTTGTGAGTACATAAATAGTGATAATGATATGAGCAAAATACAGAAGACAAATATCACAAAATGCAAATGTTATCAGTAGATTCAGTATAATTTTAAACCTAACTAACCTAGTATATCATCTTGCGGATAAAAACTGAGAGATTAACAGATTTACCTCTAAGGCCCCGTCACTCCAATGCTCATCAGCAACACTTTTCAATCTGGACTGAGCTTTATCCTTCAAGATCTGCAGACCATATATTAAAAATATAACAAAAAAATTAGCATTATACGACCAATGTGTGCTCTTTCATCTTCAACCAACAAATTTGAAGATTCTAGATGATAAGTTACAGACAGCAGCAATGCGATTAAGGCGCTTAGCTTTTTCCTTAACATCACGGTCAATTTTCTCAGTATCCTCTCTTGCCCGAGCTATGCAGCAAAATAGAAAAAGTGTAAGATGATCATACAAGTGGGAACATATGAATAAAATCATCTACAAAGGTGCAGCTCTTTAACCCTTCCCTTCATAAGAAGGAAGTAAAAGGAAGGAAAGTTCAACAAATGCAGAAAAAGGAGAATTACACTAAGTAATCACCATAATGGATTTATATAATCTTATCAGCATTTCAATATTCCCCAGATGCTCCAAAAATAACCCTTTGATACGCAAGAAACTAATCTCTTCTCAAACTGAAGATGATTGTTTGATACACATGCTATTTCCTTTCTTTTTGTTTGATACTATGGCATATATTTGAACAATTATTACTTCTAACAAAAACAATTACTTCGTTGGATGAAATAGCTGATGTAAAGTTAAAAGTACAATAGCACATTATTTAAACAAGGTAAATTAGCTAACCATCAAGTTTGAGAATTTCTGTTCCAAGAAAAGCAACATCTTGGCGTGCACGGGCATCCAGCCTCATTATGCCACTGAGGAAACAAATAATTAACAGTTATTTCCACGCATCAGAACACTATTTTATTCCTTACTGTTATTTCTCAAATGAAAGATATTTAATAGTTTACAATATACAATTACGTGAAAAGAACAGACAATATATTTAAGTCAGCTATGCAATTCCTCATGTCATGATTACTAAAATATCTGGAGAAGTTAAAACATGGTTTATTGAGTAATTTATTTGGTAGTGATTACCAAAGGATTCTCCAATTAAAGAATTCTTTGCCAGTTTATATATTTCTTAACATATCCTTAAAAAAGTGGGCAGATGAACAGTAGTGAGTAATGGATGCACATTTCAAACAGAAACAGTATTATTAGTATAAGACCAAAACCAGGTTACTGGCAGTACCGTGAGAGAAACTTTGCATCATTACAAACGAATCTACAAGCTTCAGCCAAGCCATGAACTGAATGAATGTGATCATTTTTCTCATCTTTGGTATGTATTCTGTACATATGAAAGGATCTCTAATCCGTAAGTTTGAATCCTCAAATATTTAATTGTGATAAGTTTACATGCCATCATCAAAAGGATAAGAAAGATAAATGCTAGTTTGATGTACAAAAAAATTGGCAACTGAAAGGCAATAATTAAGGTCTACTTGTTCAGACATAGGAAACAGCAGAAAAATTGAAAAAGAATGGATGAATTTTATATGGTTGGTGGTTAATCATCTATATTTTAATTTTCTCACCTAGTTAAATCAGAAACGTCACCATAAGTGGTAACACATTCTTTCTCTTCGGTATTATTTGCTCCTGTTGATTTGCATGAGATAGAAGATTTCTTGGAGATTAAACTAACTGGTTTTCCATTGTTGGGGCAAAACCGGTCATTGAGTAAGGTTGGTCTCTCTGCGTGGAGCCATCTATGGTTCAGATATCCATGTTCCAGTCCATGTCTTGATGGCTGTATTCTGTTGATCTTTGTTGACATGGAAAAATAATGTTTTTCATGTGATCTACAAAGAGCTTTTCTGTTAGTCACAAAAGGACCGTTTGAAACTTTGTTTGCAGTAAGTGCCATCAGAAGATCAAGTAAAGAATTAGATAGGCCTGGCTTTCATTGCACTTGAAATATCTCAATTCTGTAGAAGTAAAACAACAAAAAGGGAATAAAGACATAGAATCTACATAGAAGTAGTGGGTTTTACAATCTGAGTACTTTTACAACCACAAGTTCCATTCAACAACAGGTATATTATAAGAAAAGGAATACAAGAATGAATTGTGTTATGAAAAATACAATTTCAGGATTGATTGAGAAAAAAAAAAAATACAAAAGAATCAGAAATCCTCAATACGAATCATGACATGTATAATTTTTTTTTTCCTGATAAAAATCATGATAGGTATAGATAAACAGTTTGATGCATATAGTGTTACACATAAGACGGACAGATTAGAGTATTGGTGAAGTTATGTATCATTTTGTAGAGAATTATTTATAGAAATTACAACGCAACTAATTTGGACATTCAAGCTCCAAAAAAAGGTACTAAAGAGTAAACATGCTTCTTAGGGTATTGTTATGTAATCTCTGCAAATCTGCTTCTGGGTTGTGTTATTTCAGATATCTGATAATATTCAGCATTTATGCAATACTCTGCACCTTATACCCAACCTAATCCAATCTTTTCTTGAAAAGAATATCTATTTAATGAAGTGGTACAGCTTAATTAGCTTCTCCACATTCCCCATAAATCAATCATCTTCTTATTTCAAAGCAAATTCAGGTCACTACCCCAGTTTTTGATCACTATTTCCATTATTCAGATGTTTGAAAATTTATATGCAGGAAGATAACTCAAATGCTTGAAATACTTGGTACTAAACACTTACTTAGTTGGGCTCAATTTTTTATAAAAAATCGGATGGTCAACTGATTTGTAAAACCATGTAGCAGATCAAGATGCTGTTAATCCATTTTCAATAACTAGAAGTAAATATTGAGCCGTATCAATACCGATGTGATTATAACGATTTCAAGTTTGAAGTTAAAAATTATAAATGCAGTTAATTTTGCCAATTTTTAGAAATATGAATATCTGGTTTGACAACCAAGTTCACTCAAAATTCACATACCCAACAATTGCTGCAGGAGGAACATACTACATCGAAATTTGATAGATCATTCAAAAAAAAAAAAACTTTCCACCAGCATCGCACTTGTCCTCATGAACAATAACATATGATGCAGTTACAAATTTAAAAACATAGAACAAGAACTGTGCAGTACATCCCAATGAAAAACAGTAAATGACAATACCCATTTAAGAAAAAAGCTCAAACATTCCTTAAAGCAAGGGAAAAAGAAGCAAGTGCGAGAGAACCCAGCAACTACTGACCTGTGGAACAAAAGAAACCTTTTATTATGTTTATTTTTATTTTTAAGGCAAGGAGAACAAGAGTGGAGAGGTAGAGGAACTAGGAATTAGAGGGGCTAAAGGTGCAAATATATAGATATTGATAGAGACTATAGATTAAAAGAATGGATAAAAGACAGATATAATTGAGAGGAGAATTGAGAACCACAAGGTGAGGGTGTGGCCCTTTGAATGCCAACAACTAACAAAAACTGGGAATTTGAGTAATGGGCATAGATTTGGAGTGAAGTGGATGAGGACTATGATGCACTCCACGTCATTGTAAGTTACAGAGAAAGTAACTAAATTAATCAAGTGATGTAGGATCGCAGGTCACCTTTGATTTACTTTGATAAAATTCGGCGAGTTTATTTTTTCTTAATATTGTCCAAGATTATTCCAGTTGCAAGTTTATATTTTTGGATTATTATTTCTTTTATCTCCTATCCATTAAAATATATGAGATTCATACGAAGAGAAAAAAGATAATACCAGAGACACGCATTTTTATATATATTTAAGAGATAAAATTATTTCTTATCACATAAAAAATATTAATTCTTATATTTTTCTATCCTAATAAAAATTGTGACTCACAGAATTTAAATGAGAAAAAGACATAAGTAATAGAAATCATACGGAGAGGAAGTGAGTATTTTTTTAATTTAAATTTTAAATACAAAATATAAGAAGGTTATAGTTACTACCTCTCTTTTTTATTATCTCTTACTACTAAATTATAACTGTTGATTTCTGTTAATTTAACGGGTATAATTTATTGAGTCAAACAAATATAAAAAACATATAATGCTTGTGATATTGGTGTTTTAGGTTCAATAAATGACATCCAAGTTCAATAAACGACATCTCTAACTATAAATCAAATCAAAATTTCATGCATAGTACATAACTGAGATAATATTAGTATTTTAGATACATAACTTATGTAAGTCAATAAATAACAAATCACTTAAATATGTCAATTATATTTATTTATTTTTTGGAATTATTTTTTAAAAAAAACTCCGGGTTGGATCACCGGTTATCACCAAAATCGGTCGGATCATACTAGGTCTGGTACTTGGCTGATCTAATATAATAACCGAACCGGTCAAATGACCGGTTCATAGAGTTTCGGGTCCACCTGGCCGGTCTGGTCCGGTTTTTACAACATTGGCCTCCTCCTTCCTCTGGTGAGGGGTAGCTTTCAAGGCCGTAGAGGAGGTTAAACGACGATACCTCCAAATTATAAAAAAAACAAAAAACAAAACAAATATTTTTCCGTTTAACTAAATAGCCTAAAGTCTAAACTGACGATTCTTGGATAATAAGTTTATGGGAAATAATTCTCTTATCTGTCATGTTTGATTGTACATTAAAATTTAAGAAAAAAAGTTATTTTAAAAGATGTAAAGTTATGTCATTTTAAGTGAGAAAAAAGAGATAGATCATGGGAGAGAAAGTGGACAAAAAAAAAGATGTGGAGTGCACTTTCTTGTGAGAGTGAAATGACACAAGTTGTGTCATTTAAAATGAGAAACATTTTTTCCTAAAATTTATCAACTCTTTATTTTACTTAATAGCGCATATTAATGTATAAAAATATTCTTGTAGATGTGAAAAAATAATCCCTTGACTCATCAAATCAAATTGTGCATAAACTTTTCCAAAAATAAATTGTTAGTGAGTTTTAAAATCATTTTTTTTCACATTTCTGGCATTGTATCATTTTTACTTTATAGCTATGTTAGTTATAAATGTTGTGTCTCTATGCGTGGTGTTTGTTGTCCATTAAAATTTCTAAACACATCTCTTCATCTCACTTAACAGCATATATTAATGTATATTACTATTCTTGGAGATGTGAAAAAGTATCATTAATAATATAATTGATTCAAATGGTAAAAGAATTTATTTTTCTTAGCGAGAGATTTTAAATTCGAGTTATATAAATAAAGAAAATAATTTTTTTTAAAATCACTCTCTACAAGGATTCCAGTGCTCTCAAATAAAAAAAAATCACTCAATAATCAAATATTACATTGAATTTGGCGTTTGGTAGATGAGAAATTCTTTTTTATCCAGGAATCTTGATTTTCAAAAATATGATAAAAACATTCAGTTTACGATAATATCTGAAAAATAAAAATTTAAGGATGTCATGCATATATTCCATATATAGATGACATTTTAAACCGTAGTAAGATCAAGGATTTGAATTATTTTATCAATTGAATTGAAATCATATTGTGAAAAGATGACATCTTCATTTGCTCGTGAAAATAAACACACCACCAGACGAGATTTTCATTTTTGTTTTGGCTACGGAAGTGAAGTGTCTCAGTGGTAATTTCCATAGGGAAAGACTGAAATAGTGAAATATATGTTCGGGCCTTCGGGGTTCCATGTTTTCCGTCTCAAGTTATAACCTCATTTTTTCAATAAAGAAATATGCTATTTTGGTCCGGCAGGGAGAGAACTCCTCCAATACTCTTCCATTATATCAAGAGTAAATATCTTTTTTGGTTCTCAGCAATTTCACGATGTCCACTTTAGTCTCTAGCAAATAAAAAGGCTCATTGTGGTCCTTAAGAAATTTAAAATGGACCCATTTTAGTTCTTTTATAGACTAATATGAGTCTTTTTTAAATTTGTAAAGACCACAATTTCAACTAAATGGGTTCATTTTGAATTTTTTTAGGGACCACGATGAACTTTTTTATTTGTTAGGGACTAAAGCGAACATCGTGAAATTTGTTGAGGACCAACGATGGTATTTACTCTTATATTAATTATTGTTGAATTTTGCTGTGCCGTATGTACATCTATCAGTGTATCTGCAATTGAAATGTAAGAGTTGAACGACAGTTGAATCTCTCCATGAGGCATGAACCTTTAGATCATGCAAGGCAGGAATAGACACTCCAAAGTTTATATACAACTTACCTTTATAGGATATGTTACGTAAGATTAGAATTTTTGTTTGACGTAGTTTACATTACATGCCCCAAGTTTTATTTGGTAGGTAGTTGAAAAGTTGTTTATACATTATATACTACGAGGCTCACCATGGTATTGAATTGAGTTCTTAATGAACTCAAGGTATTGGATTCATGACTTTTAAGCTGCAAGCCCTAGGGAAAATACTCTAGATGGCTTATAGGAATATAGTAATTCACTGTATCTTTTGGGAAGATTTATTTTATTTTATTTTAGATAAGAAATTTCTGTGTATAAAAATGGAGTATGATTTTGTTCCTCTCACTTGGCGAATTAGCAAGACTCACCAAAATGTTACGAGGCGAGTGAAGGGTGAACTGATTAGGTATGCAAAGCCCCTGCTATGGCAAAACTATTTGGTAAGAAAGTTACATAAAATTATTACACTTGTCTCGCAATTAATTATAGTTACGCGGAAAAAATGGTAGAATTTGAATAAGGGAAAAATTATTCTTATACTATATGTCATAACTTTCTTTTCTATACACTTTTCGATAATTGTATCATCTTTTTTTTTTTTTTTGCAGATGGTGGAGCTCACAAATTTATCTCTATGAGTAACTTATTTCTAACATTAGATTAATAAAACCCTTTGAATAATGGTAATAGTAATAAATGAATAATTGATAAATACAGCAAACACTTTCTGTTTTTTCATTTTTATTTTAAGTAAAACTATTATATAATATTATTGTTCTGGTAATGAATCATAATTTGTGAAAAGATTGTAAACTCCAAAGATTAACGGGTATGATTTAAGTAATAAGACTTTACATACAGCTTACCCCCACCCAAAAAAATAAATAAAGACTTTACATTTTCTTTTTTTTTTGGTGAATAAGACTTTACATTTTCAATTCGGGCTTTTTTAAGTTTTCGGTTCATTGACATTCACATCAAATAAGGTCATATCAAATTATTTTTTTTAATTTTAATTCTATTCACCCAACCGACACATATTATGATATTATTTAAGCTGATCCAACACGTTTGACACTTATTTATTATATAGTAATTTTAAAGGGTATTCTAAAAAGAAAATTGTAAAATAAAAGTAAGTTGGATATTAGATTCACCTTAGAAAGTTAAAAATTGAATTGGTTCCGGGGGATTATACTAATAAGAAAAATTATATTCACATTATTAAAAATATATTTGAAGAGTTTATTCGTTGAAGGAAAATAATTAATACACAAATAAATATTAGAGGACTGTTATTGCTTAGAATTTTGAATTACGAATGATTTATCATTTAATCGAAGGGAAATATATGTTTACCAAAAAAAAAAAAAGGGAAATATAAATTATTTGAGTATGCTTAACTGTAGTCAGCGTATCATTGAGCCTTTGACACTATGCTAGAAAGAAAATTAGGGGCTTTAGTCAATTTCAAGTAGGAACTACGTAGTTCTTTATATGATTTATCTATTCTTTTGGGCTAAGTATGTTTAATTTGTTGAGTTTCTGTACCTTTAGAGTTAGTCAGTTAGGTATCTCTAGTTAATGTTTCAACCACCATTCATTCACTTTAATCAATGAACTGAAGTATTAAAATAAATAAAATATATGTTAGGTCTTATTTAATTAAAGAGAAAAGTTCAGATGCCAACGTTGAGCCACGTTGATTCATGTAAAATGTATAATTGTTATTTCTAAAGGAAGTACGCTCTTCTTTTCATCAAAGGCCTTGCTTGGAGACAATTTAAAAGAAATAATTAAGTTACATAATTGCAGCCCCAGATCCACTCAGCATAAAACACTTTACCTCCGAAAACTGAAAGGGAACATAACTAAATGTGCCCTTATACTAGCAAGCAAAAGCATCGCTTACATATGTAGAGAAGAGAATTAATTGTCGAAGAAGCATTATAAAGATTACATTGCTTATTCGTTATATATAAATATAGGGTTATATACTTCTTCCGTCACTACAGATGGGAAAAAGTGCAGCAACACTTATTTTCTTCAGGACACGCATTCGGATCTTGATGTATTTTTTTTTTTTAGGTCAGGATACGATCTTGTATCCTAGTGTTAATAATTTGCTGCAACTTTTCTCATTAGCAGCGAAAGGAGAAGCGACTAACCCATAAAAATATATATGAGGAAAGAGGATTAAGGGCATTTGGGTCCTCCTTCCTTTGTCTTCCAGCTGTTGTAGCAAGGGCACACTTGCTTGTTCCCATTTGTACCAGGGGGAACACAGAGGCATTTGGCGCAGCACTTCTGGCAGAAAAACATGCATGGTTTCTTGTGTGATGTTGCAGAGCAACGGTAAGTACACCTTGGTTTACAATCTGTTTAATTGTTCACACTATCAGCAAAATAAAGCCCCTCAAAACTAACATAACTAGAAAACCCAAAATTTGTGACTTGATATGGCATACCTGAAGGACTAAGTGTTGCTTGTCCATAAGCCTGTTCAAGGATTACACAGAAACAAATATTGCTAGAGTTAGATAGAACATTTGGATTTGGAAACATATATATAATATATTGATGTTATAAATAGATTTCATAATGCTACTAGAGAGGAAATCATAGTTGAACAAAGCAAAGTGTTTTTCTTGTTATTTATGTACCTCGGCCACGTTAGAGAATGTAACCAAAAGAAGCAGAGAGAGTGCAATCAAGATGGAACTGTGAGCACGTGCTGCCATTGCTATGATAAGTGAAGTGAAGGGAAGAAGTGGCTATAACTTTCAGAGTAAAAGAAAAGCAAAAAGAACAAACAAAAGTCTTAGTTATCTCTCACCTAAGAATTGGATGAATATTTATAGGAATAAGAGTGACCGAATCATCGACGCTAATCATGAAATCTCAAAAAGTAAAATAACAATAGAATTGCGTTGTTTAAGGCGTTGAAAAGGGAAGTTGGAACTAATTGGAAAAAATACAAAGGAGGTTGCTTGAGAAAGTGAGCGATAACAGCGGCGTGTCTGTTGTTTCATTTGTTTTTGTTCGCTTTTGTCAACTTTGTAACATGGTAGGTCCTTCCTCGTTCCATTTATTTACTGGGATTTAATAGTCTCATTCAATAGAAGACATTTTATCTTCAGTCATAGACACACCAAAGCATGGGCCCCAGCTATTTATTTAAAAAAAAAAAAAAAAAAAAATACCACTCAAACCGATGTATCAGCAGAAATGGAAGCTTGTCTTCGTTAACGTAAGATTAACTTTCCCCTTATTTATTTTATCATTCTTCATTTCTCTCTCTTTCTTTCTTTTTTTCCTTTCTCTCCACCGTTGCATTTAATATGTAAATCTAACTTAAATATCATTGTTTTCACAAGAATAACATATGATCGTTTCAAAAATTCTCAAGAGTAATGCTATCTATAGAATTTAATGTTAATATGTATACAATCTTATTTGAATGTTGTAAAAAACACATACGAACTCAAAAGAAAGCTTAGTACGAAAAGGTATAACTGAATAAATGGTTATATTACCTTTGATGGGACCTACTACATTTGTTTCTTTGTTTTACGGTCCCAATAGCATGTGAGTGAACATGGGCTTTGATGTTGCATGCATTGATTTAGTAACATGACTTAATGAATACTTTTTTCTTTTTTGGTACAAATTAACAAATTCCATATGGTGAATAGATGACTTATATAGTTACTTGTTCCCCGCAGCATATATGGATAACATGACATGCACATGATTTTTTATTCTCTTCGGCTGGAGGTCACTGAGAATACATTTATGAATTTAATATAAACATGAATATACTCAATATAAATATCATAGGAATTTGAAAATGGAATAAAACTTTTGACATAAACACAATTCATTGAATTGATACGATACATATGAATAACCCAACAATTTCAAAATATATTATTTATTATGTGAGTTGACACAATATGATACAAATGAATAACCTGTCAAATTTAAAATGTTACCTATTACGTGAATTAACATGACACGAGATAACACAATATTATACGAATAACGGTCGCATTTTTTTAAACATCAAATGGTCAATATATATACTGGTTTTATTTTCGTTAGTAAAGATCGTGGATTTGTTAGCAGATATTTTTATATTTTTTTCAGTGTGAAAACTATTCTTTGGCAGATGTATGTTTTCGGCTTTTACTAAGAAAACTTTTTATGCCACATTTATATAAAAATAACTCATCATTTATTTCTTTATCTTTTTATTATAATAAAACTCACTGAATGATTGTGATAGAAAAAAAATATCTGCAATAAAAACAAAAATATTAAACCATATACTTTATTATCCGGAATGAATAACATTGATCGAGTAACGGTGACCTTAGCTTACTAGTAAGTGCTAGGCTGCATGGGAAGACTTTTGGTGAAGGAAGAGTTGATGAAATGGTTGAATCAAGTCCCTTAAAAGCAAATTCGGTAAAGCAAAATAAATCTAGAAATGTAATAGAAATCAAACAGCTCATTAAACGAATAAGATTAACAATGCAAATTCAAAATTAAACCAAGGATTAAGAGAGCTAGCTTGCACAGAATATTTTTATACTAGCTCAATCCTAATGTGAAATTTATATCTAGTCCTCATCTTAATTGAGATTTTTAATTATCAAACCCAATTGTTATTTGGTTCACATAGCCTCTCCGAGCTAATTATAACAACTGCTCACTTTCTACAAAGCTCATAACTCATTCTCACATATCTAAAACTCTAGCTCATAAACTAGTAAACACACAACCACACAAGACCTTACATGAAAATAGGATTTACACTCTCAAGGGTATTTTCAGTGTTAAAGCTTAAAACTTTTACAAGAAAATGATTCTTAGATATGAAGCATGATTTAGGGTATTTTCTTCTTCTTTTAATGTTCTCTAAGAAGTTTGATATTTAAAGACATAGGAAGCTGACTGCATTTCAATACTTTCGTAGCTGTCGGCCTTTTCTAACTATTGCAGGAAAATGTTGGCTATTTGAGATCAGAGAGCTCTTACCATTCCCAGAAATCACCCCCCCCCCCCCCCCCCCCCCCCCCCCCCCCCCCCCCCCTCGGACTTTGGCTAGAGGTGTTGTTGGACTCATCATTGCAAATTATCTCTTTCACTTGCACTGTAAATATAATTACTAGCTTCCACGCTAGACATTGGTGTTCACCCCTAAACAAGGACCATTAGAAATTTCGATAGTTTCATGTTTACTTCAAAATTTTACACAGCCGAAAAAAAAGAAGCTCAGAAACAGGTTCTACAAAAATTTCAGGACTGACATTTGAGAAAGCAATTCTCGTCATATTAATTGTAATTCCCCTAAAGGCTGTAAATATGGGGTTCAAAAAAATTGTAACAATCTTTTTTACATTATAAATGTACATAATCTGAAATACCTAGGAAAAGCAAGAGAACCAAATATATAACAATGTGTATAAATAACTAAACAAAACCTATATGACCAGAAGAGAAAAAAAGATGTTATTGTGGCGCATTTGTATCTCTTTTCAGACCTGAATCTCCTGAATCATTCCTCTTGAAGTGTTCTTCAACAACTTCTTCCCAGTTTAACCTTCCACCATTTGATTCTGATGTGGAGCACGATGCATCTTTGCTCTCTCTACTGGAAAGCTCTCCTTCAATGTTCTTAGACATTTCTTTGTCTGCATCCACTGCATGAGGGACGTTTAAGCTAAGAGCTCTTTCTAAAGCATCTTTATGTTCTTTTTCAATGGTCTTCAATCTCTCAAACCTTTGTACAGTTGGAGGGACTGTCACAGTTTCCGAGTTCCTACACTTCATGTTCTAAAAAGAAACATCAAGAACAGTCAGTAATTCTTGAAATGCAGAAAAGGTTAAGCACTTTCGATTTTCAAGTTTCAACAGCATTTTGGTATGTACATAGATTGCATTAGTCTTTAGTCTCAAGAACGGATCCCAAATAATATAAAGAAAATAAATTTTAAGAAAAGTTCAGAAGATCTAAACACTCTTTTGGAAAGAAATCAACAAATCATATACTACTTTTTCTACGTGACATACTAAAGCTCACATTCGTTTTAAAATAAGGTGTTCAGCAATGGCTTTGATCAAGAGAGAGCTAAAGCAAGGAAGAAAAAATGGCCTAAAACAGGAAATTTGCCTGTTTCTCTATGAAGGCAGTAGCTGTGCCTCAAGATATTTATTACTCTGCCTCAAAACACTAGAATACCAACAGTCAGAACTTCCAACTTCATAGGCAATCCATGTATCTACTGACCGAATTCAATTTTAATAAAATTGAGCAATTCATGATAAATAAGCAAGATTTATCTATTCACCAAACATAAGCACATAGAATAAAAGAAAAAGGATATTTCAGATCATTTTTTAAAGCATGACATTACAGGTGGTGAATCACGCCCAATTCATGTCAAAACCAAGAATTGGTTTAAAAACACAGGTACAAACAAATTTATTATAATGTTAAAATGTTAATGCCATGAAGTGACCTAAAGAAGAGGTAAGACTGATAAGCAGGAGCAAAAAGAAAGTAAGGGATTCTTTCGCTAGAATCTAATGTATAAATATCCATTTATGAGGTTTTAGTAATATAGTTATTCATTAATCAAAATTTATAAATGTTTGATTCCCTCACTCACAGTATAAGCATGCAAAAAGCATGGTGAGCAATAAGCAAACAAGAAGCCACTATCTATATATATAGGATCTTCTTACACCGGTATAAGAATAATAAATCTTAACAGTTGATTTTCGTACATCTAGCGATGGTAATTAATTAATGAATGTAACCAAATAAATTACAATCATATGATACACGAAAATCAATGGCTAAGATTGAGTGTAAAACTTATTACTCTTATACGTGTAAGTTGATCCTGTCCTATATATATATAATAATCTATACATTTGATGCCAACTCTACCTTAGTGATTTTTCAAAACTTTGCAGGGAATTGTCAAAGCAGTTGCGAAGCAACAAAAACCTTAAAATTGGGGATCCCCACCCAGATGACAGAACAGCATCTATTATTCATAGTTTAGGTTAGTAAATGATATAGGAAAAAATCAGCACAAATAGCAAATGGTAGGCAGATTCTGAAAACTAAATTCCCTTACTTGTAAAGCTTTCTCTGCCTCCCTTTCAATCCAAATAATTCCATGATCAGATGTTGCATTACAGGACAAGACAATATGTTCAAATCTCCCATCAACAGGAATAGCAGTCCTCACTTCAGGAGGAAATCTCCCACATCTGTGTTCCCCAAGGCCCAAGCAATGAGGAACATCGTTGAAAGGCACAGTACATTATTTACATGTAGGCAATAAGTGTTCAGCAACATATTTGACAAAGAATATGATATCTCAGATTTAAACTCTACCACTAATTAATGGATTTCTGTCCCTTATTAGAATTAGTGAAATGATGAAATCCTTCCAATGCACTTGTCAAAGAAAAACAGGACAGTGGAAACCACATCTGAAAGAGCAGATTCATGATTACAAAGGAATATACTGCGAAACAAGACAATGTCGATCAATACCTGCAAAACTTTCTTTCCACGATATGGTACATACGTCCAGGTGCATAAAGCCTCCTTGGATCCCTAAGCTTTCTACCCTCAGGTATGAAGGTGTCCCTCAGGCAAACCAAGAATATTAAGCAAGGTTCAAATCATCAAGGCCTGGTTTAAGAAACCGCAATGATAATTTACTCAACTTATTCAACATAAAATAATTATACACGTACACACACACCCACACTCTTTGGAAACATGATGATGATGCCCTTATTGCCATACTACAGAAAAGCGAGAACTAACCAGAAGATTGATTCGAATATATCTTCCAAGGGAGTTGCAGTTCTTGGTAAGAAATCATCCTGCACAAAAATTGAAGCATATAATTTGGACCAGCACCATCAGCAAAACGACAAAAAAAGGGAGGAAACGACAAATACCGTCTGGTCAAACTGATGAAAATCTAATAGCACAGATATCATAACAACCAATCAAATGCCAAATAAATTTGAACAACCAATGAAACAAGAGAAAACATGAAAACGACAAAAACAGAGAGAAGCAAGTAAAATTGTACTAGTTAACAACAACAGCAAGTTCACCTGCAACACAACGGAATGTATAGTATCAGCATATTTAACAGCCAAATTGAGGGACATGCACCTTGCAGGTGCAATTGCGTAACACCGAATCAAATCCCTGGGTATCCCTCCCAAACGTTCCCTATGATTCAAAACGAGTATGGTCAACAAGGACACAACACCCGAACCCAAAGAATGACCACAAAACACCATCTTATAATGTGAACCGCTCTGGACCCACAAACTTTTAAGGGTATGGGATTCCCGGTTCAGCAACCAAACCGCTGATTTGAGCAACCCATGGTGGACGTAGCCACCGTCGAACATCTGCATGCCCAAGCCGTTGTCAAACAGAACCTTATAATCGCTCTCCTTCACGAGGTTGAGGCCACGGACGGCGACCACGATCTCGCGGCGGCTGTGGTCGGCGTAGATTATGTAGGGCGGCGCGTGGCCGAGGGTGTCCTTGTAGGTGACGCGCTTGACGACACAGTCAGGGTTGAGTGCTGCGAATTGATAGCGAGGGTTGATTGCGAGGATGAGGCGGCAGAGGCGGGGGACAGGTTCGAACTCGTCGGCGGTGGCGGAAGGCCAGGTGGCGCTGTCGTAGGAGCCGACGTAGGTGCAGCGCTTCCATATCCAACGTGCGCAGCCAAACACAACAACGCACTCAACCCCGCATGAAACCGACATTTATTGTTGTGGGAAATGATAAAGGAAAGTTTCGGAAAGAAGGTTTGGAGATTTCTGCTTCTCCGGTAAGCAATGGAAGCTGCGTTTGCGTTTGCGTTTGCGTCCGCGCTAATGTTTTGTGTGTGTGAGTGAGTTTTGGGTCAGCGACACACACGTTGGATAAAGCATTATTAAGTTCAAACTAGTGTTGTTTAACTTTATGTTGCGTTGGGTCTAAGTGATTCTTAGGAGTTATTAGGACACCGTGACATCTTTGCCTTTGTGGAGAATTGACGCTTATATTATATATGTTGCCACTCTTTGGTGCATGCTTTTCGGGCATTAGGAGGATTGGTTTATTCTGCTTATCCTTTCTATATTAATATATTTCAGATGCGTTCTACGAAGAATTTAAATGCAATGTTTTTTATCTCATAATAGAAAGTAGAAACAACATTTTTATGTAAGTTTATGATCCTAATTATCGGACAAGTCGGGTCTCTGATATCTTCACAACTATGATGGAAAAAAGGACCAAAATAAATATGAAATTAATTCTGAGTCAAGTGGCCTAATAATTATTCAATTTACTCATAGTGATGCTCGTATTACAACTTTGACACCAAATTCCAATCATAGGTTTGCTTTAGTACTTTCCTTTGGATAATTTGGATGGATCTTGGATGGCACCCACTACTTAGTTTCTTCCGTGATTCCATTATGCCTTCTGGCTTATTTTAGTTTTTTCTTTTCTTTTCCAATTTCCACTACTGATTTAGCTTTTTCTTTGACTTATTGACTTACTATGATTTCTATCAGAAAATATCAATAATGCATATTACTTCCTTTCATTTTGTTCATTTCTACCTTTTCTATGTTAATTGCTAAAGCCATAATTTCTCAAATTAAATCATCTATATATATATATATATATATATATATATATATATATATATATATATATATATATAAAGGAAACCCAAACTTTGGAAGCTCAGCTGACGTGTCACTCCTTGCTTAATTCTGAGGTTTCTGTTCACACTACATGGCACCGGGAAACTTTCCTTCTTTGGTAAATCTTTAAATTAAATAAATAATAATTTCATTTAAAAATCGAAATAAAAAATAAATGGAAAATAAGGTTAACCATTTGTGGTAGCAGACAACTCATTTAATGCCCCACTGCTTTTTACATTAGAATTCTTCAACTCTCTTAAATGCTTTTGAAATTGCTCAGCTCTTTTTTTAAATTCGAATTATGTTTTGATTTCAAATTTTAAATTTTAAATGTCCCACTTCTTTTGTTGATTGCGTCTATTAAAAGACCAAACTTATTCCCTCTGGTATTTCGTTCTCCCCTACGGTACAGGCTAAATAATATGCCTACTTCCCATAAATGGATCCTTGCCCTTTCGTGCGCCTCACCGTCAGTAACCTCGCCCTCAAGATTCCTGTTGCTTCCAAACCCGCTCGCTCCGTCATTCACCCTTCTTCCTCTCCATGTTTCTGCAAGATCGAACTCAAGAACTTCCCTCTTCAATCCGCTGTCGTTCCCTTCATCCCTCCTGATAGCAACTTCTATGATTCTCAGGTGCAGCCTATCACTGCCACCTTCCACCTTAGCAAGTCCGATCTTGACAGACTCGCCGGAAAATCCATCTTCACCGGGAGGCTCTGCTTGAAAATCTCGATCTACACTGGTCAGAGGGGCACTACCTGCGGCGTCAACTCCGGGAGGCTGCTGGGAAAAGTTTCTGTGTCGTTGGATCTGGCGGGAACGGAAGACTACAGTGTTTCACAATGGGTGGATTACGGTGGGAAAGGAAGCCAAATGTTCTTCCGCGCAGTTTCATCTGAATGTGAAGGCCGAACCTGATCCCAGATTCGTGTTCCAGTTTGACGGCGATTATATTGAGATTTGCATGTATCTTCGAATTTTCATTGCTTCTGCTTCTTTTCTTTTTCTTATGGATCTTGAATCTACGTATACTTCAGTGTTTATTTGTGTTGCGATAGCGTAACACCTGCTCAAGTCTTCTAATTATTATTCTCTTTCACTGAATTCATTTGTTGCCTATAATATGATGAAGCATTTTGTTTTTGTTAATCATTTTTTGAAGCGTTGGTTTCTATGCCTTATGGAATGCCAATCTGTGTTAGAAATAGATCTCGGGTATAATTTATTATCTGTTTATTATGTTATATTGATGTCGATTTTTCTGCACATTGAAGTTGTTTCTGATTGCTTTTTTTTTATCCTGGCGGTAAGAATGTATAATAACATTGGCTCCCAACCTGGGGCACCGTAGCTCCCAACAAGCTCGCAACCTAATCCTTTTAGGAGTGCATTTAATGTTGCGGATTCAAGACTCGTTCGAGGTGGATTGGGTTCGTATGGTGGAAAAATATTAGGATCCAGCTCTATGTCCAAAGCAATTCATAAGTATTAAGTAGCATCCTCGCAATGTGGGACATGTGGTTAGTAAAATTATATATTTTAATGTTTTTTGTTTTATTTTTAAAAAAAATTGTTATTTGAGTAAATACTCAAATCGGTCCTCCAAATTGTTATTTAGAAGATCAATTTGAGTATTTGGTCGTCGTCAATTTCTATATGGACTTCAAAGTTCAAATCATTTTGTTTTTTCTTGTCTTCCTTATGCTTAAATTGTGTCTCAACATCTGATTATTCCGGGAAAACTGGCATAATCTCTTCAAATTCAACCCGTGTTTTTAACCCGTGAAAAAGGAAAAGAAGAAAAGGAGGAAGGATTCTACTGAGAATATGTTGAGTTGCCCAATGGGGACAACAATTTGAATGGAGGAGAAAAGAAGAAGAAAAAGGAAAAGCACGCAGAGCATGAAGAATAAGCTGAAATGCCAAGTCAAAACAAAGAAAAAATGAAGGAAAATGAGGACTAAAGTGGAAAAATCGTTAGTTATCAGCTAATCAATCTGGTGAACATTAAATATATGATCAGAAGTTTAATCTTCACCACTCTATTTTATTAATAAAAATAATTAAATATTATAGAATATTTTAATACAGATAGATTGAACTTGCATTATCCACCCTTCAAGTTAAATAAATTTTTGTGTAGGGAATTATATTAGAAAAATATAGTATAAAAAATCATTAACGGACCTTAAATATAGGGAAATAATTATTTATGTATCTCATGCAACAGAGACATCTCATGTAAATAAATAAAATGGAAAATTATGTGAACAATTTTTTGTGGCATACAACTCATTTAATATCCACTGCTTTCTACATTGGAATTTCCAAATTAATAATAACTTATTGCTTTCTGAAATATTTATTTTAAATTTCGAATTTCATTAAAATTTCAATTTTGAATTTGAATTTTAAACTTTGTAATGGTGAGAAAATATTTGGACAATTATTGGTGGCAGACAGCTCATTTATTATCTCATTACTTTCTACATAGGTAATTATTAACCATATCAATGCTGCATAAAAAAAACTATTTTGTTAAAAAATAATCATTAAAAAAATGAAAATATTTTGTAAAAAAGTGCAAATATTTTAAATTAAGTAAATATAAAAAAATCAAAATTTGTAAATAAATAAAATGAAAAACTATGTGAACAATTTTTTGTGGCAGACAACTTATTTAATATCCCATTGCTTTCTACATTGAAATTTTCAAATTAATAACAACTCATTGCTTTCTGAAATATTTATTTTAAATTTCGAATTTCATTTAAATTTGAATTTTGAATTTTAAACTTTGTAATGGTGAGAAAATTTTTGGACAATTATTGGTGGCAGACAGCTCATTTATTATCTCATTACTTTCTACATGGGCAATTGTTAATCATATCAATGCTGCATAAAAAAAACTATTTTGTTTAAAAAGAATCTTTAAAAAAACGAACATATTTTGTAAAAAAACGCAAGTATTTTAAATTAAGTAAACATAAAATAAAATCAAAATTTGTAAATAAATAAAATGAAAAACTATGTGAACAATTTTCTGTGGCACACAGCTCATTTAATATCTCATTATTTTCTACATTGGAATTTTCAAATTAATAACAACTCATGGCTTTCTGAAATATTTATTTTAAATTTCAAATTTTATTTAATTTTGAATTTTGAATTTGAATTTTGAACTTTAAACTTTGTAGTGATGAAAAAATATTTGGACAATTATTGGTGGCAGACAACTCATTCAATATCTCACTACATTGTACATTGGAATTTTCAAATTAATAATAACTCAACTCTTCAAAATTTCAGATTTATGTTTAAATTTGAATTTTGAATTTGAATTTTTAACTTTGTAATGGTGGAAAAAATTTTGGAAAATTTTTATTATTAGACAACTCATTTAATGTCTCACTACTTTTCTTTTGTTGTATATTATGAGTAAAAAATACCTCTACTTTTCTTTTGTTGTATATCCCACTATTTTTTACATGGATAATTATTAGCTCTATTAATGCTGCATTAAAAATACATGTATAACCAATTTAAAAAATATACATGTATTTTTTAAGAAAAATATTTAACATAAATATTTTAAATATACATGTATAACCAATTAACAAAATATATAAAAATCATAAATTAAAATAAAAAATATGTATAATTAATATAAAAAAAATTAAATTTTAAAGTTAAATAAAAAATGACTGTGTCATTATGTAAAAAAAATTAAAATTTAAGAACTATAAAAATGAAAATTTTAATTTAGTAACATAAGAAAGAAATTAAACTTTCACTTTTTTATTGCAAGAGTGTAATTAACACAAATACTTGCAAAAAATAATTATTTATATAAAATGCTGACAGTTAGAGGTGGAAAACTGAGCTCAGCCCGGAGGGCCGGCCCGCCAATATATTTTTATAATTCAATTGAAATTTTATGCTTTTTCTTTTATAATTAAATTACTAAATCTGATTTTAATTTTTGTAAATATAAATTTGTGAAATTCCAATGACTAACGACACTAATCCTTGCAAAAAAAATAATTATTTATTATTATTTTATAAATCTGATTGTAGTAAATGAAAGTTCATCTTTCAGATAAAATATAAAAACCTAGACGCAACTATAAAAACCTTTTTTTGTAGATAAATATAAAAATATTTTATATGCTGATAGTTAGAGGTGGCAAACTGGACTCGGCCCGAAGGGCCGGCCCACCAACACATTTTTATAATTAAATTAAAATGTTATCCTTCTTCTTTTATAATTAAATTCCTAAATCTAATTTCGAATTTTTGTAAATATAAATTTGTAAAATTTCAAATACTAACGACGTGAATAAAAATGACCTGTGTCATTCTGTAAAAAAATTATTAAAATTTAAGAACTATAAAATTGAAAATTTTAATTTAGTACAGAAGAAAGAAATTAAACTTTCATTTTTTTATTGCAAGAGTGTAATTAACACAAATACTTGCAAAAAATAATTATTTATATAAAATGCTGACAGTTAGAGGTGGAAAACTGGGTTCCGGGCCGGTCCGCCAATATATTTTTATAATTCAATTGAAATTTTATCCTTCTTTTTTTATAATTAAATTACTAAGTCTGATTTCAAATTTTGGAAATACAAATTTGTGAAATTCCAAAGACTAACGACACTAATCCTTGCAAAAAGAATTATTTATATAAAATGTTGACAGTTAGAGGTGGAAAACTGGGCTCCGGGCCGTCCCGCCAATATATTTTTATAATTCAATTGAAATTCTATCCTTCTTCTTTTATAATTAAATTACTAAATCTGATTTCAATTTTTGTAAATATAAATTTATGAAATTCCAATGACTAACGACACTAATCCTTGCAAAAAAATAATAATTATTTATTATCATTTTATAAATCTGATTGTAGTAAATGAAATATTTAGTAAGTGTTGAACTCATCCCTCCAATGATTGCTATGAAATGACACTGAATGAATAGCGTTTTCATATTATAGGTAAAAACTGATCTTTTAAATCCATATTTGCTAGGTGTTATTGTTACCTTGATTTTGTTGATGAATGTTATAGTTAGCAATGATTTGTATCCATTTTTTTTTTATATTTCTTCCTCATGTTAAATGGTGTATTATAACGTATTATGGTGTATTATGATGTAGTTGTATGCAAAATTAATTATCTCTCTAAATAGCAGATTTTTTTATGTGGTTGATATTTGCAAAGTTCTGTGTCAATGATGTAATTTTTTTCACATGAAATATAGAACAAAATAGCAAAACAATTTTTTTGTAAGTATAAAATTTGCAATGCGATTAACCAACCACGGCGGGCGACAAAAATTTTAATCTTTTTTCTCGTGCATCGCACGGGCAATATACTAGTATATATATATGAGAAAGGTTATATTTACAAAAAAAAATTACAAACTACACTAAGTATGACCAGTCATACTTCATTCAAGAGTGTATGACCGATCATACTTAGTGTAATTTGTAAAAAAAAATTATAAACAAATCTTATAAATCTATATTATCCTTTCAAATCTTATAAAATCCTTTAAAGTTTAATCTTATAAAATCTTGATTGTAAAAAAAATCTCTAAAATCACTATAATTCTAAATAGTCTTTTAAAATCAATAAATTATTTTATCTCAAAATAATATTTTAAAATCCTAATTCAATACATCCCTTTAAAAATAGAGGAAGGTCACTCGGAATTGCAACTTGTCTCCCCCCATATTTCTTCATTACTCATGGGCTCTTATCCTTCCCCTCGTATGTTTTCAATTTACCATTTCATCGACTGCAACTTGCCATGTTCATCAGTTTGTGAAAAAATTAAACTTCATACTTAATATTATTACTTTTTTTATAAATATAATGATAAGTTAAAGGCTGTACATACAAATGAATAATTTGGAAATCTCAAGATTGTCACAACTTTGAGACTTGATACCAACAAAAAAAATGAATTTAAAGACTCGTGTACAATGTTTATTAAAGATGGCATACTGGTAACACCAGCACACTTCTTAGCTCCAGCCGGACCCAGAAATTTTGCTCAGTGGGGTCAATTTTTTACATTGAAATACGAAATAAAGATTCAAATTTTAAGAAAATTATTACATGCTTCTAGAGTAAGAACTTCTTATTCCTAAAGCAATCATGAACAGCCCCCCTTCCCTTCCCTAACTAGTAAATTCTAGCTACTTAAGCTATTAATGGTTAGTCTAACTAGTATAATTGGTACAAAAAAAATTCTTGTATTCTAATCTAGTTGTTAGTCATCTATCAGTTAAGGCTTATGGCATGTCCTAAGTTGTCTTCTTTTCCTAAACTTTTGTTAACCTAAATACTGACTTCCTAAAGACCCAAATAATATATAATTATTCTTGAATTTTTCATTCAAAAAAGTTTAAGGATAGTGAATGAAATTATGATAAAGTCAACTTTTAAAGTAGTCGTATCTCCTAAAAAATGTTATATAAATTATTCTTAAACCAAAAAACGATTCTCACATAAAAGGAAATATATTAGCGTAGGCACAGACACAATTTATCGTAGTTAAAATATTACGTATATACCATTATTCCTCTCTCTTTTTTAACTAAAAAGGATATTTCAAATATCAGCATCAAAAGTGGTGGTAATTGTACATTTAGTAATATAAATAGAAAATTTTGAAAATATTGTGGAGCCCCCAATTCAAGATTGGGGGCAAGTATCTCCATGGGGGGTGGGGGTGGGCTCCACAATATTTCCAAAATTTTCTATTTATATTACTAAATGTACAATTACCACCACTTTTGATGCTGATATTTGAAATATCCTTTTTAGTTAAAAAAGAGAGAGGAATAATGGTATATACGTAATATTTTAACTACGATAAATTGTGTCTGTGCCTACGCTAATATATTTCCTTTTATGTGAGAATCGTTTTTTGGTTTAAGAATAATTTATATAACATTTTTTAGGAGATACGACTACTTTAAAAGTTGACTTTATCATAATTTCATTCACTATCCTTAAACTTTTTTGAATGAAAAATTCAAGATTGGAGCCCCCAATTTTGGCTCAAGTATAACCAAGAGGATAATTAGATTTTTGATACCAATTCAAGATTCATCGTTTAGCCGAATGTGCAATGAGAGAAAGAAAATAATTAATTCAATAAAAAAAAAATAAAATCCAAGAAGTATCTCCGTTCTCTACTCAAACATCACTTTGCGCCAGTGTTTTAAAACCACACCCCGCCTCTCGGGTTGACCCGGGTCAACCCTGACTCCTTCTCTCTGAGGGTTGGGGTCACAAGTTGGACACTATATGCATATCGACCCCTCCGCCCCCCAAAATCCGGTCGGGTTTCAGTGACTCCCGGGTCGGAAGGGTCAAAGAGGGTCACTGCATTTTTTTTTCCTTTAAATAATAAATCCTTGAAACAACATCGTTTTATTAAAAAAAATAAAATAAAAATGTTTGCAAACCTAAATCTAATTGTTCTCTTCTCTCCTAGCGACCTAGACGTCTTCAATCTTCACCTCATTGTTGTGAATCTTCTAGAAAAGGTAAGAATTTTATCCATTCAAATGAAATCTTTACGATCGTCGATGGAAAACAAAAACTCATTCTTACTTCCTTTAAATTTTTCTTTATCAGGGACCTTCTAATACTTTAATTAGGTTGTCTAATATTGACTTGTGGTTGTAATTAGTGAACTATGTTAAGTATATTTTGAATCTTTGATGATTGATGGTTTATTTTTTAATATTTTCATATAGAATATATATATATATATATATATATATATATTTTTATTTATATTTTTTTAATATATAAAACCGGGTCAGCGTAGTGACCTCGTGATCCCCCAATTAAACTCGTGACCCCTAAACCTTGACCTCGGCCGGGTCGATGGCCGGACCAAATTTTTAAACCCTACATTGCCCTCGAGCACAGCCTTAAAGTAGCTCTTTATTGAAACGAATGGTATATTAACCCTTATCTAAGGTGAAGTTAATTTCCCACCGAGGATTAAGCGCAATTTTTTTTATCTCTAGCCCTAAAATAACTTTTGAAGAATCAAACCTGAGACCCAGTCCTTGGACACACTTTATAAAGCAAGTGTACCACCCTTGGGAATTTAATTCCATAAATTTTCAATTGAAAAGCGTTGCATACATTTCATTTTGAAAATAAGAAGAGGAAAATTACTAAATAAAAGCATAAGTTTGGGAAGAATTTGAAAATTTGAGCAAATAGCACTACTCAAATACAGTTGTCTTAAAACTGGGAAAAGTACCAAGAACTAACATGCCAAAATAAAATAAAAAACATGCCAAATCCACAAATCTTTGCAGAGGGTTTAACCAAATTGCAAGACATGGTAACTAATTTGCAAAATTTCAATAGTGTAAAGACCGGACCATCTGATATCAGATCTATAATGTTATAACAGAAGCATCATTAATTATTTAATTTCGGTCTCGAGTGTAAATAACAGTAAGAAATATAAGTTAAAATAAAAACAAATGGGAATCTGGATACATCAAAATTTGCTTTCAAGCACAATTAGATTTTATCTTGATTTGCATTTCTCTATAGCCATTTGGCACTTATCTGAAAATCAATATATAACAAGCCACTATAAAACTTTGAAAAAAGTAAATTCTCAAATCAATCTAAAACTTGAGAGAACACGAATCAATACCTATGTAGAGATGGCCAGCGCAAGCTTCCATGGCTTTGTTCCTCCTATTTTTTGTTTAATTTCACTATGTTGAAGCCTAAAATAAATTAAATATTCCTCATCACACTTCACTTTCACTCTGGGCATGAGAAGAGAGTAAGCCAAAGGATAACTCTGTTAACCTAGGAGAGATTCAACATTTCTGACAGTTTATTGTAATCCCAGAAATGCATGTTCTGGGACATGAAAATGGCACCAACAGCAAGTGCAACGGAAACAAATGCCATGCTCTTCATACACCCATGACCATGTGACAATCGCCCCAAAATGACTTTGCAGTACTTGTCTGCATCCTTCAATAATGCAAGGCGAGCACCATCATCCTCCTTAGCCAAGGCCTTTTCATTCTATAAAGACAAATTAAGTGAGAAAAGACATGATTTTTTCTTTCCAGTTGCAAATATAGTAAAAATAGGCTCAGGATAAGATGCATCCCCTACAATGACATATCTGGAAGAAAGAAAAAATCTCCTAAGATAACATCATTATTTAGATTTTAGACTGACTGGCCTAAGAATTAAGAGAATATGCCATAGAAAGGCTAATTAGAAAATGTCGCCAGAGATTAACCAGCTTAATCACATTAAATTGTTGCTCATAATTAACCTCATTTTGTCAATACCTACAAGAGCAATTTGTAAAATAGACAAAGCTTCAATGTGCATGCTGACAGTGTTCAAGTTTACATGAAATGCAGGATACAGTTAGAAAGGTATCATGCAACTGTATTTACTAAAAATGAAAATAGTTTACCATTTGACTGAAGCTCTTAAGAGTTTCCCTCAAAGGATCAGGAGTAGGATGTTTATCAAAGTGTTCCCTCCATTCATCACAAAGCTTTCGCAATACAACGATACTTGCTTCAAGGTTATCCGTGTAAAGCAAATCCTGTTTCCAAGCATTCAATACAAATTCGTGTTAATAAGTAGGAAAAAAGCCACTAGGGAAAAAAGTAGGAAACAAATGAAAAAGTAATTGTTAAATATTACTCTCTTGTACTCACCCATTGCTTGTAACATTCAGGGTTCTGAGTCAAACACCAAATAAAAATGTCACTTGCCTCCTTTGATAGGCCAGGATTGGCTGCAAAAGATTCAAGCATTTAAGTTTTCACACTAAAGTACAAAACCAACTTCTTCAATTCTCAATTATAAGCACTTGAGAGACAGCACATGCTGCAAATAAGTAATTGACATGTGCAAAAGAAGAGGTAAAAAAAGACGACAATCTAAAGTAACTCGACATCACCTTCTCCTGCAGCTTTGATTGCAAAGCTGAACATCTGTTGTGCAAGTTGCTTTGTTGCTTTACTTCCTGGGGACCCCGCAAGGGCTACCTCTTTTAATGTTGGATAAACAGCTTCAAATCTCTCAGTGGCCTTAACAAAATAAACAAATAAAAATACCAGAAGAGTGACACAGCTAATAGCCAATGATTATAATGCACGTCATTGGAAAACAGACAAGATTCTGTACAAAAAATCTACCTTGACCCGAGCTGAAGGAAGAGGGAAAGTAACTCTCAATAGAGAGTCAAGAGCCAATGGGGGCACAACACGCTCCCCCTTTCTGACTGCCCCATTTAGCAAGATAGGTCGAGCTTTAGGAAATGTGATAATTCTGTTTCAGAAAAGAAAGGATGGAAAGGAGCTAATTCATTAAAGGCAAGAAGGAGCAGCTAGGAACTGTGCACTAATTACAATAAATAAATCAGCAAAAATTAGTGTTGAATCACAAAGGTTTCCTCACCTCTCAACCAATTGCAATATCAAGTCTCTTGACTGTGGATTACAACCAGACTTCTCTTTCAGCATGGGCAAAAGAAGGGATACCCACAAGTACAACCCCACAATTAGATCTCCCTGAGAAGCCTACACAAATTTAAATCCAGTTAAAAATCCATATAAACAATTCATGTGTGTTTGTGTTCGGTATGGAGACACTAAATCATGTTGAAAACAATCACCTGTGTAATCACCCAAATAGTGAAAGGGAGTTTATCCTGTCCTTGATATTTATTACTCTCCTTTAATATGGACAATAAACTAATCATGACATCAGGTTTCCGTCGAAGCACCATTGCTAACACCACAAATATGGCAACCTGCAGTCCAAATGATACACAATATTCATATCAAATACTCACTCAATTATATGTTATAGGCATATAGCTCATATGCAACATGTCATTAAAACATTAAATAAACATTACAAGCTTTTTGACTGATAATTCAATGAATTTATCCACATGAAATCAAATTTGGGGGTCATGTGGCAATCATAAAAAAGTAGTACAAAAAATCAAATTTCACTGAAAGAAGTCAGACAAGAGTCAAGTTGATTCTAGAATACCAAGAAGTTTACTAAAAGGCCATACTTTACAAAATTTCACATTGGTGATAAAAGTGCATTTTTCCTTATTGATATCTGGCTACATTTCCGGAAAATCCAATGCACATCCATTCAAAATTGAGGATCAAGCTCTTGTAGATTTCCGTCCTAGGAAGCACATATACTCCACCGACATCCAAACTTGGTTCTCCCTGCCTCTAACATGTATCCTTGCCATACCTTAATGCAATTCAGTCTCATAGAACACATAAAATGATAGCCCCAATTTCATGTTGTTTGACAAGTTAGTCAACCACAAGTGACTATTGCTAACAAAGCTAAGGAATAAATCAGAAATTTCCAGGATCTAAGACAAGGCCTTAAAAATGGTTATTTTGTTTCGATTATTGCTATATCTCAATAAATAGGAAACCAATGTAGTAAAGAAACTATGACAAAACTCAAAATTGAATAGCAGTCAGGTATAAAATTCTAAAGTTAAAGAATAAATTAAAAACTCCTAGAAAACTAATATCATCATTCAGAAAAAGTACCCAATACCAATGACATCAGGCACGGCTAGAAGAAGAACATACAACCATGCCTTATCCCACTAGGTGGGGTCAGCTATGTGGGTTAACCGAGGAAACTATGTACCTTCTCTCACACATAAAGATTCATGCCCCATATGGAGACACAAAGCGACCAAGATGCAAATTTTTCTTTGAGCAAAAAAACAAATAAAAATATAGGAATGTTTTAAGCAATGTAACATCCTTAAAGACCTACGTCAAGTTGTGCAGCATGATATGAATTCAAAAGGTACCTGAGATTTCGGTGATGATTGCTGGACCACCTTTTTAGATCCCTTAACAACTCCCTGATGACTGGCAAGGTCTGTAAGAATGCTGTCGAATGACCATAGCACAAAAGACCCAAGCGCTTCAGATGATCGATGACCAATCCAGTCAGTTGATATTTTGTAAACATCCTCAGATATATGCAAAAGAGGGATCTGTTAGGAAAAGTAAACAGATCAGAAACACTAATTAAAATTACTTATCACGCATAACCTGCATCTTAACCATCAAAAATAACAATGACCATACAACAGAGAATTGCAAAAATCTTGTAACTCACAGGATTCAGCTACATTTTCCAACGAACAATTTAAAAGGTCTAATTACTCATGCATTCCAAAATTCTATACCATGCTATATGTCATTCGCATCACAAAAAGGTCTAATTTTTTCCCTTCAAAACAATGCTGGCACTCTACAATTGCAATCAAATCTTAATCTGAATTATACTTTTTCAGGAGAGAGAGAGAGAGAGAGAGAGAGAGAGAGAAACAAAAAGATGAAGAGAAACAACTCACATCAACAATCTTTGCAACAGTGGACTCTTTGAACGTCTTAAACCACGGGAATTGAGCCCCACCAACAGACGAGAACGCACGACCAAAGTAATCAGCAAATCTCATCAGCTGAATATCTTGCTGCGATTCATACGAAGCCTACGCACACGCGATTCAATTTTTTCAAATTCAATGAACACAACAAGTTAGCGAATCGCAATCATAGCAGATCAATCTCAAAATCGAAATCGAATATCAGCACTCACGGTGATTTCAGCGAGAAACGCAGCGAGATCATCGGAATTGATTTTGGAAGCGGCCTCCGCCACCGTCACCTTAGGCTTCTTCTGCTTCACCTTCTTCACCTTCGTAGAACCATTCTGAACAGCTTCCGTCGCCGGTTCCACATCACTGTCGTCTTCCTCGTCGGAATGCCGCTTCGATCTGCTCGGAGCGGGGTCCACCGATTCGGCGGCGGCGATCTGAGCCTCCTGGAGACGGCGGCGGCGCTCCTCGGAATGTTGTTCGATGGAGCGGAAGACGTCGGAGGAGGAATTGACGGCGCCGTTGTTGGCGGCGGAATTATCGTCGGCGAGGGGCTGCTTGGAAGAGGAATTGTTACGGTTGCGCTTGTGATACGACACCGTTTGCCATTCGTTATGGTTTTTATTGTTTTTGTTGTTGTTTAGTATTTGGAGGGTCCTTCTTCTATGAGCTTCTTCATCTTCTTCTTGCTCCCTGAGAATGGCTTGGATTAGAGCTGAATTCTCGTCCATGTTTTCAATCAACGCACTCTCTGTCTCTCTCTCTGAAGCTTCTTTTTGTTTATGATTCAGAAGAAGATGATGATCAAAAACCGTGTTTTTTAAAGAGAGAGAGAGAGAGAGAGATAGAAAGGATTATTAAGAAGAAGAAGAAGACGACGATGACAGAGAAAGATATGAGTCTCTCTCTCTCTGTATTGTGTTAAATTGGACACGTGGGTGTTTGGTTTCTACTTTTCGAGTTTGACATCGTTTCATAAATCAATTACGATAATGACTTTATCCGTTTTTTATTATCCTCAACTGCAATTTGATTTGGAATATAGATTTAGAGTTGGATTTGGACTTGGACTTGGATCATTATCTTTTATTTATTTAAATGTCTTTTCTTTGGGAAATGCAAACACTTGCTTTGAGTTCACAGTTTCTTTGGATTTGTGCGCCCGGTTTCAAACTCTGCTTTAACATAAAATGTCAAATATGTCTTCTTCTATTTTTTTTTATATAGATAAATTATTTACATCAAATCTAAAATAATATTATTTAAAAACGAAAATTAATATATTTTTGTAATTATAATTTCTTTCGAGATTATAATAATTTTTTTTATTATTATTTTTTAATCTTTCAACCTAAAATAATGTTATTTTTAGAGTAAATATAGATAATTTATCTATATTTACTATAAAAACATTAAAATTTTAAATATATATTTGCCGATTTTCACTTTGATGTGATTTTTAAAAACACGGTAGATTAAATGTTGATAAATATTTTTAGAGCATATTATATACTTTTTTTATTATTTAAAAAAATCTTACACATAAGCTTAAAAGATATGCATAAAATAAGAAACTGATCAATCTGTAAAATCAAAGTCAAATATAATTAATGATTTCCATAATCAGTTAGAATCAAAATCAGATATTATTAATACGACGAGATGTATTTTTACGTTTTTATTTTTAATTAAAATAAAAAACTAATTTCTGTATTAGGTTGACAATATTACATAAGCTTTAGTATAAAGTATTTTAAAAAATTCTAAACATAGATAAGTTCACTTTAAATATGGAGAAAACTTCAAAAAAAAATCGTATGAGTTTTCTTAATTATCACTTATCTCTCTCGTAACATTTTTGAATAATTTACACCCTTATTTAGAATTTTTTTATCACTTAATTTAGCGGCTCTTTCCAAAAGACGCGAATGCAAATAAAAAATATCTCCCGGATAAGCTTCGCGATCTTCGTAATAGAAGAGACATTTGGAGATAAGCATGTGCTTGTTTGGAGAGATCATCATAAATGATTAAAGTGTGGCGTTCCCGGTACATAAAATATTCAGCCAAAGCTGCTACTGTATAAGGGGCGAGATATTGTAATGTGGCTGGAGAATCCGTTGTTTCGGCTACCACAATAGTGTATTCCGTTGCTCCTGTTTCTTGTAAAGTAGTCACCACTTGAGCCACAGATGATGCCTTTTAGTGCAAATTCCAATTTGAGTATCAAATTCTATTTATTCCTCTCTTTTATAATAGGTATTTTGTACACGGAGTTGAGTAAAATTTCATGTGATTCAGTAAAAAGAATAGAAATTCCATTTTTGCTAAATCTATTCATGTGATTCGATGAAGAATAATAGCAAATCATGATATATTTTCTATATAATAAATGAGGAAAGTAAAGCTAACGCAACGGTAGTATTTATATCATTTTTGGGTGCAGCTAACTCCCCATTAGGTAATTGTATGATTAAGAGCCCCTGACCAATTAGAAACAAAAGTAAATAGAAACATAGTTCCAATAAATGGAACCCACAGACCATATTCTTCGCCAATCTGAGTTTTACTCACATCTCGAATGAATTCAAGGACATATTCAAAGAAATTCTGACTGAAAGTGGGAATGGTTTGTCGATTTCGAACAACTAGAATGGCTGAAACCCAATTTCTACAGTGATGAATATAAGCGCAATTGAAATTTCTGGGGAGTTATACATTTGTGTATTGATAAGACCGTTCACTATTTCTTGAAGCTCAATCTCCCCCCCGGATGAACCATATAGCCAAGAGAAACCATGAACCAGAATAGAAGAGCTTGCCCCACCCATTAGTAAATATTTCGTAGTAGCCTCATTAGAATGTATATCTTTCTTGGTATATCCAGATAGTAGATAGGAACATAAACTGAAACATTCTGGAGCTATATTTTATATGACTTATTACTACCCCTTTATTTGAGGGCATGGATCGAGGGTTTTTTTTTTACTCGCATGCTAGATACTGCATCTAGATATATTTATATATAGATATACAGATAGAAAACTAGACCAAAAAATTCACATCTGATATCTTTACCATACATAGATAGAGAATAAGGATATTATAGATATGGTCATGTTCTATTCAATGGAATAAAGATAAAATAGAAATTATCTTTTGGAGAGGTGGCTGAGTGGTTGATAACTCCGGTCTTGAAAATCGGTATAGTTCAAAACAAAGAACTATCGAGGGTTCGAATCCCTCTCTCTCCTTTTACTCGGCGAATGTATTTTTTTTTATCGGTTTTGGTTGGCTCGGCTAAAAATAAAAAGAACTAAAGACTTATTTTTGTATTGAAAAGCTAGTTAGTCGGTTTTTGTGAATCTAATTCATAAAAATTCTGTCCAATAAAATGGACGAATTATAAATCTCCAAAATAATAGATAGAAAGATCGCAAATAGCGCCATTGCAACACCCATCAAAGGAGTAGTCCCCCACCCCGGAGCGACTTATCATGGATTAGTAACTGCATTCAATCTCTAAAAAAATCCCAATTGTTTCCATTTTTTTCTTTTGGAATGGAATATTTACAGAATCACCATGAATATGACCAACCCTTATCCATGGTATTTCAAGAAGATTCCTCTTTCTTATTTTCTAAGTTAAGCAAGTCCCCGAGAGGGTTTAGTGGATCCATGATTTATGTTTCGTCTTTCGTTTCCTTTTCCTTTTCGTTTGTTTCGATTAGGGTTGGAAAAAATAAGCCAACATGTCTGGTTGGCTCATAACCCGCCAAAAATGAACCGGGTTGGGTTGGCAAAAATGAGCTGCCAACCCGGCTCGTTTCAACCCGTGAAAAAATGAGCCAACCCACGGGTCAAACGAGCCAGCTCGCGGGGTAAGTTTTTTATTTTATAAAAATTACAAAATATAATATACAAAATTGGACAAAACCCACACTTGTTATCATCATTTTTCTTCTTTCTCTAAACCTAAGTCCCTAATCTTCTCACATCCTTGCCATTTTTATATTGTTAGGCTGTGCGGACTCTATTTGGTTCAAATATCTTACCCACTTGGTATCAAGTGGTTTTGATTGTTTCTAGATGTTGATGCAAATTTGTTGTGAAGAAAATTTGAAACTAAAATATTTTACTTTTATTTCTCATTTTGTAACCCTTTGTTTAAGCTAATAGAAGCCACATAGCTGGTGCATTTAAATAGGCTGAAAATGAGCCAACCCGCGAGCCAATTGTTGAGCCAACCCTAACCCAACTCGGGTCAGGTTGGATTTTCTGGCTCGTTTTTTTTCAAGCCAACCCTAACCCGGCTCATTTTTTTCTGGTTGAATGCGGGTTGGGCCGGGTTAGCCCGTTTTGCCAACCCTAGTTTCTATATATATATATATATATATATATATATATATATATATATATATAGATCAATTTCTATTCTTTTTCTATGGATTTTTTCTGATTGAGAACGATCTTCTACGCAAACGCCCTTTCACCCTCACATAGAATTCAACGAAAATAAATATGATAAATTCATATCAAATTGAATTATTTATTTATATTGTTAGTTATAAAGATTTCTTATTGGCGAGCTACGACAATAGCACCTATCAAAGATGATAAAAGAATTATTGAAACGAGCTCAAATGGAAGGAAAAAACAAGTAGCTGGTAAATTAGAATTGGCACAATTCGCAGAATTAGAAGCTTTTGCGCAGTTCGCTTCTGATCTCGATAAAGCTACTCAAAATCAATTGGCAAGAGGTCAACGATTGCGCGAGTTGCTAAAACAATCCCAAGCAGCTCCTCTCGCTGTGGAAGAACAGATAATAACTATTTATATCGGAACGAATGGTTATCTTGATTCATTAGAAATTGGATAGGTAACTTATGGGGTAAATGATAAAAAAATTTAAGTCAGGGGTAAATGATTCAAGTTTTGGGGAGGGGGTAAATGATTATGAAAAAAGTTATAGGGTTTTTTTTGAAGTTTTCCCTTAAATATATTGTTAGATAAAATGAATTTTGTAAAATTAAAATCATTCGAAATTAAGATTACAAATGTTTACTCAAACTGATAAGCATCTCATTCTTCTTAATTGATAACCATTTCAAACTGATTAGTATCTCATAAAACAAAATTGATATGTTTCCAAATGTTAAATATAACTATTGTTTGAGTAAATAATTTCATAACTATTGTTTGCATGCGAGTTGGGTAAATAACTTCATAAACAATGGCATTAATTTGGATCACTCTTCCTAACTCTTGAGCCTGCTTTAAAAAAAAATTATGGGTCCCACGAAAATATTTGTTTATGTTATAAATAAATGATGATAAAATCATTGAGAGGGGATAATCTGTGTTAGAAAAATCACTTCCACACTGCATACAGTTTCATAAAGTACAAAAATTGAAACATGCAATAACTCAAAATTAAAATGTACCATACAAAATTATATATGTGAATGTAACAAGAAAAAATCTAAGTCCAGTGTTAGACATTGTCTCCATAAGACAATATTGTCCTCTTTATTGTAACATCCCGAGCGTTGTCGAGGGTGGAGAGTGATCGCCGGTGAGAAAAGACATGGTTCAAAAGGGCACAAACAAGGAGCGACTCTTGATAGGCTTCCATCGGACTACACAGTTGGGGATAGCTTATAAGAATTTATTGGTACTCCCTATACTAACAAGATGCATCTACTTTTCGATAGCCCATAACAGAAGAACTTCATAGTTAAACGTGCTTAACTTGGAGCAATTATGGGATGGGTGACCTCTTGAGAAGTTTTCCCAAGAAGTATATGAGTAACGATAAATCACGCTAAAAAGTCCCGTGAGATTACCTCTACTCTCGTGGTGACACT